GAAACATTTTCCCTGGCGTTTTTCCTATCATAGATGTGGACAATTCACGATTTGTAGAGTGTCTTCACGATTTGTCTGATAGATTTGATGAACAATTCGCGATTTTTCATGAAACTACCAGGTTTAAATCGTGTTTTCCGAAGGAAAGCCGGAAAGCGGATTTCCACATCTCCAGCGTCTGAGGTTTTTCAGCATGTCATGGACAGCCGCCTGGTCGCAGCTGTCGCAGAAGCCCTGGATCCAATTGGACTAGGAGCTAGAGTCGAATCAGTTTATGGGACATTGTGTTTTTTTGTGGTTTTATATGGTCTTTTATGGTTTTATATATTTTTTGGTGGTTTTAAAAGGTTTTATATGTTTTTTGGTGGTTTTATATGTTTTTTATATGGTAGCATATGGTTTTACAGGTTTTTTTGTGATTTTATATGTTTTTATATGGTTTTATACAGTTTATATGGTTTTATATGCTCAAATCTTGGAAACAAAAGCCAAACAAAAGCCATTCGAATTGACTTGTTGCTTCTGTTTTGTTTGGAAGGACTCGACTGGGAAACCACGTCATAGCAAACCACGTCACACTCTGATATTCCAGGGGGTGGTAAGCCAGGAGGTCGAAGAGAAACACCATACCAAAAATTGGAGGTAACAAACTCAAGAGTAGTGAATAGTAGCGATTTATCACTCTTTGGCGAGTAAACCCCAATCAATTGTTGTTCATAGCTCCGATCATCCATCATGGGACCAAATCCCATCGCCCAGTTGAACGGGAGGGTAGATGGTTTTGAACGCTGCTGAAATGAGATCTTTCACCAGCTTCCAGGTTCCTGATCAACCAATAATGCGACGATCATGAGAGTACCAAGCTTTGTCCAAAGCTACAGAATATAGCACAGGGCCCTGGATGTCGGCTAGTGAAAGCCCCATTTTGACTGGTGTGCAAGCGTCAACCGTGTTTATAAATACACATATAAATGTATATATATATATATAGATATATATATATACTATAATGTTGAAAAGTTATATTATCATCTAAAACCAGGCATAATCACAAGTGTGCAATAGATGTATATATACATATACGTTTGTTGTATATGTGTATACATAATATACACATATAACATACATATAATCATATCTACATAAATTACTATATATATATATATGTATATATACATACATTTAATACATATATATATATATATATATATATGGTACCCCCCAAAAAAAACCTATGCACCCTTTGATTTTACTGCTATTTACAGTAAATTCTACATATTTTGGCACATATTTTTCTAAGGCCAAAAATTGATCAATGAAATGTGCAAAACTGAAAAACTGAAAAACTAAATTCCCAGGTACTATGTTGACCTCAGATATCTTCACCAGAATTCAGTTTTTCAGTTTTTCAGTTTTTCAGTTCTGTTCCCCATCATGTTCCTGGAAAACTGAAAAACTTAAAAACTAAATTCTCAGGTACTATGTTGACCTCAGATATCTTCACCAGAATTCAGTTTTTCAGTTTTCCAGTTTTTCAGTTCTGTTCCCCGTCATGTACCTGGAAAACTGAAAAACTGAAACACTGAATTCTCAGGTACTATGTTGACCTCAGATATCTTCCCCAGAATTCAGTTTTTCAGTTTTTCTAGCTGTACTGGTCGCCATCACCCATCAAGCGACGCATCGAACTTCAGTCTTCTGCCGCAATGGGCCTGCGAGCTAACAAGACCCGTCCGGCTCTCCAGAAAGTCTTGAAAAAGCCGTGCTTTCTTAAGGGAACTGGCGACAAGCACGCGGCCGTCACTACCAAGTTTCTTGTTGTAATAATCTGCCGTCTCTGAGAAAAAAATCAACAAAATTCATTGTCAATCATGCGTTCTCCCCTGGTCATTGTCTAAGGTTCGATGCTGAATCATTGCAGCCCCTTGTCTTCTCAGCAAAGCTTGCACTTGAGATACGCATTTCTACTTTGCACTTCTGTACTGCATGGTTCCCAAAATGCGGTCCACACATTCTCACCTTTGGACAACTCACCGGCTGAGGTTGGAAGCTGATCCATGGCAGTCCCTTGGCAGGTGAAAGTTGTCACCCGGTAGTCTGCCAATTCACTGCTTTGAAACTTTTACATATGACATCAGGCCCTGCATCACCCAAGGCATGAAGATAATTTCTGGGAGCTCCTGGTCTGCATGGGTTTTCTTGCCATTGTCAATGCACCTGTCGTTGCCTTCCCCTCATGTGCCATCTGCATCTTCTATCAAACTGCCATACTCAGGTCTGCTTGGACTTTCCCTGTCGACTTTCCAAGCACTTGGCCAGGCACACCACCGGGTACACCACCGGAGACACCACCACGAACACCGCCATGGAGATCGCCACGAACGCCTCCAGGGACACTTCCGGCTTCACCGCCTGGTATGCTTCACCGCCGGAGCTGCTGCAGCATTTGCTTGCACCCTCCACACCAGAAGGTGTGTAAGGAGGGTAGAGCCAGGGGATGCGGAACGATGAGCTGAAAAAAGGTAACCATGCCCAGTGGACTGTGCAGCTTTTAATACTTGACTCATCAGGTCACTGTGTGTTCACTGATTCTGAATCATAGTTATTTGATGCACACATGGAACTTCGCATTCCCATATCATCTGATAACAACACCAGTTCTGACCTCATTGACCTTAAAAATGTCATCGCAGTGCCTCAAACTCAAGCCTCGTTCTGTCCAGGTTCCTCACGCCATCTCGTTCCAATGCCTAAGGCTCCTGAGGATATGACCCTGGAGGACTACAATCTGGTCTGTGATGGTATGACGTTTCGCTCATTGGCATCACCCTTCACCTGTCAAGCACCGCAAGGCCTTTTTCACCATCTCAACTTCCCCATGGTCCCCGTGGAGACTACGGATTGCAACCCATCTGTGCACTACTTGGATGTAGTGAAAACTACCGTCTGGACATCTCCCTGGCAGACCTTGAGAGGAAGTACAAGGATGCCATCATCAACAAGGACTTGCAGCTTGAGTGATTGCAAGCACCAAATGGTTTTGACTGAGCTCACTGAAGGCACCTACGTTATCATCAAGCACGTCATCTTTCCCCAAAAGTGCAAGCTCTCTGTCATGAAGAATCTTGCTTTTGGCGATATCCATAGAACAATGTTCATGAACCAACCGACTGTGGGCCGCAAAATCTTGCAGTATTGCTTGAAGAACCTGGGGGGCACACACTTCCGATGCTTTGATCTTGGGACCGAGACCGCTGCAGTAAAGAACCGCAAGGCCTTTGATGATCTAGAAGATGATGGCTTGGACAAGGCCTTTGACTTCATAGCCAAACATGGTCCGAGGAGTTCTTGTGATCTTGCGCAGCTACTTTGGCAAACAAAGGAGCTTCGCAAATCTTTGGTTGGCCTCAGAACCTAGTGCAGCAAGCTCTTCGACAGTTGTCTTCTGAAGGTGCGCTGGCTCGGAAGGATTTCGAATGGCTTTTGCCATTGACCCCAGTGTTCTTGGCTTCTGGAGATCTTGGAGGACATTTGGAACTTCGACCTCTCTGCCCTGGTGATGCTTGGTGAGCCTGCTTGTGGGAAAAGTCCTCTTGGCCGGAGCGTGCTGATGGCCCAATGCCGCTTCAACAAGAACCAGTACCAAGTGGACGGTGAGCCTTGCATCAGGTGTAGTCCAGAGATCGACTTCCTCCGGGGTGAGACTGGCACAGTTATCATGGGTGACTTCCTTGATGATCCATGCGCTCAAAGCCTTGGTTTGAAAGCGTTGAAGTCTTTGCTGGATGTTGGTCTTTATGAAAGCATGTCTTGGGCTCGGTGGGGCGCTGTCAAATGGGTCCAGAACCAACCTCGTGCCCTTGCTGCCAATGCATATGATGCCAGTGTCATTGAAGGCGAGTCTTTCATTCCCATGTTGAAATCCGAGACCTTCTGGGAGATGGTGCGGCCTTGTCTTTGCAAAGAAGCTACTAAAGCTGATGTGGATGCCATTTTGAAACGTGCCACTTTTCTTGTCAATACCAAGCAGTTCGTCTACTACAGGAAGAATGGCGTCAATGACGATCAAGTTCCTCGCAAATGCATTCCTGATGCTGACTATCTCACTGATGAAGGCAAGAAGTGGTATGGCAAGTTCAAAAACAATCACAAAGGTTTGCCCCCAAACTTTGAAGTGGAAGTTCAGAAGGAACAGGCGTGGCTATCTCTCATCTTCAAGAAGCTTCAGGAGCAACGGCAGCCGGATTGGAGAGTTCGTCAGCACGTGCGTGGTCTTTTTCATGCTGATCGTCCTGAGTCAAGTTGCTTGGAAAGAGCAGCCTCCATGGAAGGTGAGCGGGTGGCCATCAAACGTGAGCGTGAGAAGTCTTTGGAAAGGAAAACCATGAAGGCAGCAAGGGCATGGAGCGTTCAGCTGAAAGCTGGCAGAACTGTCATTGACATTGACTCTGATGATGATGTTCTCCCTTAAGTGCAGACCTTGGAAGAAGCTATTGAAGAGGCAATGGACCAGGTGGGCGAGGGCGACGTCTTCGACTTCGGCGGGATGGAGTGAGTGCATTCGCTGTGAGATCTGATTTCCTTTTGTGTCCTGCACACTGCACATTTTAACACAATTGATTGGGTTATTGTGTCTGTGTATTTGCAGGCAAATTCGAGTTTGGTGCGTCCATTCACCGTCTGTGCACTTCATCATCCATGGCAAAGGCGAAACAAAAAGAGCTCTATCCACTTTCTGAGTCCACTTCCATTCAGATTGTTCTTGCATATTCAATGCTCTGCTTGTCTCGTCTGTGGTACATGCACAGTTAGCATTCCCATTTTGCTTCAGGTCTGTTTGTCTGCATATTAGATTCTCACATGCCTTGAATGTGTTGTTCTTCTTGCTTCAAAGACTTGTTCTTCACTGCAGCACCTTGACATCCAATTTATGTTGCGTTGTCTTGTCGAGCATTTTGGGTTCACAGTTTTGGTGTAGAGTGTCGGTCCACCGCTTCGACATGGGGAAGAGAAATGTGAAGAGCCTCAAGTTCAATCCCTTTCCAGACCCAAAGAAAGGGACAGGCAGAAAAGTTTTGAAAAGACCTGCCAAAAAAAGAGCAACGGCTGGAAAAGTATCCCTTATGTGCGGACGAAGGATGCCATCAAGGAACAGCGCATGGATCAGACAGCTTGGAAATGCAAGCTCAAGGACTTCCTGAGTGCATCGGATGCTGGCTTGATCAAACTACTTCGAGCAGATCGTCTTCTACATGACTGGACAGGTTCGACATGCCCTCGTTGCCAGAAGGGTAAGCTTTCCAAACTTCAAAACTGGAGACTCTGGGATGCCGAGGCACAGGTGCAATGGATTTGGCTGTCAAGCCTACATCAATTCACATCACCTACATCCTCTCTTCGTGGATGCAAGAGGTTCAAGCCAGCCATACATCTCTTAAAACCCAATCTGCTCTCCTGTTCTTGCTCTTGAATCGAGTTCCCAATGCTACCATCATCGCATCTTGCACATCAACCACAAGGCCATTGAGAACATGGACAAGCGCATGATGCAACTTCGAAAAGCATGGGTGGAAGAGAAAGAGAAGCTCATAGCCTTCGGCAACGGCAAAACTTGGATGAACATCGAGGCAGACGAGGCGACTTTCACAACTACAGACTTCAAGGATTGTGCCGAGGATCCTGCAAAGCCTGTGGCTTGGGAGCAGTGGTGTGGCATCATCCAGCGTGGTTGTCCACAGACACTGCTCCTCAAGAGATTGTCCCCTACTACAAGATCTCCTGGTCCAGGCGCCATTAGGAAGGCCGAGTGGAAGCCCCTGGCCACAGAGCACCTCCAGGACCGCTGTGTTGTCCTGCACACCGATGCTGCGAAGTCTTTCCGATTGCGCTTGCCTGGTGTTCTCCACGACCATATCAAGCATTACAAAAAAAGGATCAAGGTCAAGGGCAAATGGGTTTGGAAGCCTCCGACATACGTGAAGCTCATTACCCACAAAGATCCCAAATCTGGTTTGCCAATCAAAACCAAGGGTGGGACTCAGATCATCGATCGGGCCTGGCGATACTTGAAAGACAGAATCAAGTTGAACCAAAACTGTACAGTAGGGTCTCCTCTCATGCGGATAAAGATCCGTAGTGCTCAGTATGAGTACTGGCACAGAAATGCTGATCTCTGGCTTGCCTGTGGCACACTGTGCTCCTGGCACATGGCCAAGATCTGATGTCTAACCGGGGTGACGGCATCGAAAACTCGTCTGGCTGCTGCGCACTGCTCATCATCTACCACATTCTGTACTTCTGTGCTTCCACTAACCACCATCTTTTGCAGAACTTTATCCTGATGTCTGATGACTCAGGACTACTAGCATATTGTAAAACCTACCCAAGTCCCATGTCTCCATCGTGCGTCCCAATCTTTTAGCAAACTCCCAAGTCATCTTCCTGTGCACAGGGTCCAAAGGGTTGTCTAACCGGGGTGACGGCATCGAAAACTCGTCTGGCTGCTGCGCACTGCTCATCATCTACCACATTCTGTACTTCTGTGCTTCCACTAACCACCATCTTTTGCAGAACTTTATACTGATGTCTGATGACTCAGGACTACTAGCATATTGTAAAACCTACCCGTGTCCCATGTCTCCATCGTACGTCCCAATTTTTTAGCAAACTCCCAAGTCACCTGCCTGTGCACAGGGTCCAGAGGGTATAGTACTGGTCCCAAGTCACCCGTACCCACTATAAATATTCAATCTTGCTCATGAACCGATGTTTCTTTTGGCAATCCATTGGAATCTTCAACAGCAATGACCATGACTTTCACCAGATCTGTCACACAATCGTCATATCAGACACTCAAAATATAGGTTTTGGGAGGGGGGGATAGCTATATATATATATATATGTATATATACATACATTTAATACATACATATATATATGTCATATATAGAGATACATATGTTTTCACACATGACACTGACCGGAAGCGCATGCCGGTTGCCTCCCAGGTGCCGAGAGCGCTCCTGAGGACTTCTGGGAGCTCCGCAGGAAACATCCGCAGCTGCCCCTGGCACTGCCACAGCTGCTCCTGGCACGCGGATTTCATGGGGACCTTCCATGGGAAAACAGTTGGAAAATATTTGGGAAAATATGAAATTTACAGTAATATTATATGATTTACTCATTTTTCCATATGTTTTTTTACTGTATATGTTGTTTTATATATATATATGGATCCATGGGAAAAGAGTGAAGATATGATACACTGATTATACTGGTATATATATAAATATATATATATATATATATGTGTGTGTGTGTTGACAAGGGGGATATAAGCGACAAACATGGTGACAAAATGAGGATATTGGATATACTCGGTATAGAATGGGGAAACGCTTTTGGAATCCAACCCACTTGGGAGGTACAGTTGGAGTGAGAAAAATGTATATGAATGTATTGAAAAAGCCTTCGCATAGTGGATTTAGTGGTAGTATCTTCCCTAGAAAATCTGAACAATTGATGCTTGATGTAAAACATCATACATACACACACACACATATATATATATACGTGTTAAATCCCTAAACTACAGGGTTTTACAAGAGGGGTACAGTATATATGATATATGAAACAAGGATAGGTTAATGGGGATATTATCCATGATTAGTATGCTTTTATCATTGTTTTTTGATGGCAGCGCAATCTCCTTATAGAAAATATTTCGTGAATGTTAGTGTGACTCAATATTTTTGGTCATGCAGGTTACTGGCTAGAATATTGCTGGGTTTATGTAATATGTTGATATATAAATCTATATCATGGATGTTTAAGGGATTTTAAGGGTTGGTTTTCATGAAGATTCCCAGCCCCTGGATTATGGTGCTTCTTCCAATCGCAATCGGCATTGGTTTATGGTCCTACGCACGAACCGCATGAAGTTGCCTATTTGGAGCATCCCAGTTCGAAAATTGCCCAATTTATAAGTGGGCTTTCTCTATGGTTATCGATCCCATAGAATTTTCATAAATGGCTAGTTGATGCTAGTTGCATCCTTGCTTCCCACATGCCACATGAGATGTTCCTAGGTTGACGCGCAGCTTCACACGCTGCTCCTCCCGTGTCGTGGACTTTTTCCCCGGCCAGCAGGGCGGCAAGATGCTCGTGGAATTGCAGGATTGGGGGCGGGCGATATATGGCGCCAACGGACCGTTCGAAGTCATCTAACCACTGGTGTATAACTATAAGCAACACACGGATGATTCGAAATTTAATGGCTAGATATTTTGTTGGGATTTTTGGGCATCTAAGCATAATTTTTGTGTCTCTATATAGACATATCCAAAATGACAGAGATAGGAAATCATATGTGGATACTTTTGCTACATATCCATGTTTATCCATTTTGTTGTGGCGGATATTTTTGAGCCATTCTCATTCTTATTTCGAAATTAAGAAACCAGAAGTTGGGGATATCGGGTGCCTGGGGGTCCAATGCCATATCGAAATTGAGGAAAATGATGATGAACCATGATAAACCATGATTAACCACTGTTTTTGGGGTGCTCAGTTTTTTACAATGTATTTGATAGATTCAATCATCTCAAATCCATTGTTGCGCATTGTCTCTCAGCCCTCCAGGATGGACAACGAATCGAGTTGCTGGGCGAAATGCGTTTGTTTTTCCCTTCGCGGGGGCCAGATCACTTCGGATGTCAATCTGACTATCGGATTGAACAGTGGGGGCATGATGCGGGGAAAAATCCATGTGATCTTCATGGATACAATCCAACACTTCTACGTTCAGCATTTTTTGTGGTTTTGTGACCAGTGATTAGTGATTCGAGAAGGGTCAGTGCAACTAATCAGAAGATGAGCATACTCTGAGTCCAAAGTTGGAGAGTCGAACATGTATATAAACTTTTGAGATTGATTCGGAATGTGCAGATTTACATAAATGCTTGTAAATGTGGATTTATTATGGTATATTGGAAAATAGTTCTTACTGGGTCAACCTTTCTTAGTACTTTAATCTTGTGCTATCAATGGCAAAATGTACTAACCAGCTAAAAAATCGATTTTTGAAGGGTATTGAAGATTCACCATGTATGTATGTTATATTATACAGTCATACATACAATACAGAATACATATATATATATACATATGTAGAATATTAGATATCAAATGAGATAATGACATATATTAATCTATATTAGTAGATGCACATCTACATTTGTCCTCATAGAACTAGTCACATCCCCCCGCACAGCACAGGACAGTCCTCATTGAACATGCAGGGCCCAAGCCGCGATCCACCGCTGCTCGGTGTGACTATGACTTTCCGTTGGACAAAAGGGTGACACGTGTCGCGAAAGCATGAAAGAGACCGATGACATTAACCATTGTCATACTAAGCGGTTTGGATTATGTTTGATGGTATTAGGATATTTCTGAATCATCCAGTAGTCATAGACATTACAGAGTCGTTTTTACAATAACAATGACAATCAAAGCATGATGGTGGTTATAATATAGCTTTTGTGAATTATGGGTCAAACTTGGGTATTTTATACCAGGTAGTGCCCGGCCCGCGCCAGGGCGGAAGTTTCGAAAGATTGAAGCCGGCTATAAGAAATCAATGGCCTATAGGAAAGTTTTGGAGATGCAGAAGCAATGAAGTGTTGAAGTTGTGAGGTGCACCAACGAATGAGCAAAGGGTGGTTGAGATGCCAATGAAGTGATTGAACCTATGAATCAACGAATCAATGAATCAATGAATGAGTGAGTTAGTAGTTCGATGAATCAATCAATCAACGAATCGATGATTCAGTGAACCCATGAGTCAATGAATCAATGGACGAGTGGAGTCGACGAATCAATCAGTCAATGATTCATCGAATCAATAAACTCAAAGAATGTATGCTTCGAGGTAACTGGGGCTAATTCCAAGGTAATTGAATCCAGGATGAAGGTTGGTCTTGAGTGGTAATGTCTCTATATATTAAATATATGATGGTACCTTAGTCTTATGGATCTATTACCAAGCCGCCAGTGGCGGCAACGGGTCGCTGCGCTGCAGCGGCAGTGGCAGCGGCAGTGGCTACCTTGAGCCGGATATTCTTGGACACTGACCACTGGTTGAGATATTTCAATGAAACAATTCCCAGAAGAGAAAGATTTTGTTCTTACCATTATGCCCGTTGCACTTGTCTCAAGCTCCAACTTGCCCTGCAAGTTGGGGAAATGGTTCACCCGCCATGAACCCTCTTTCGGATATCGAGGAAGATATCCGCAGCCTTCCAAGGTTACGGTTGGCTCAGCTTCTACAGGCCCGCTCTTGTTACTTGTAGGATGTCCAGATAAGGTTATAGAATTCTATTGGAACATTTGTGCGTGGGTTCCGCTATGATTTCATGCTGCTCTATCGCCACGCATTGCTGGCACAGGAAACTGACAGCTTTGGTGAGAAGAAGGCTGCTGGGTTGGTCACATTTGGGGGGGCTGTGGAAATCTTGGGGCTATTGTCTTTCGGTTCGTGGCAATCAAGCTAGCCCAAGCCCCACACGCAGGAGAAAAGTGGCACTTCTGAGGCCCCAGAGGTGAGTCGGAGTTGTGCCATATGTAAATTATATGCGCAATCTGATTTGTAAATCTGCAACCGCCTGTGCTGGCACGATCGGTCCTTGCTTTGGCCGGAGTCCAAACAACTACTTCAAGTTTTTAATCAGAAACTCTAAGATACTTCAGGCTCATCGAGTTTCATCCAAGACCATTTGGATCACAGCTCCCAAGCTTGTTCGTGCAAATTCCTGCAATGCCTTTTTGGTGGCTAATGAGGAGAAGATGGCACAGTCCCATGTCCCGACAAAGAACAATGAGAACAACCAAGAGCTTCCAGATTCCCAAGAGACCCTGGTCCTGCAGGGGGATGAACCGCCAGCCCCAGTGCCAAAGCAAGAGGAGAGACTTCGTTCAGACCACCTGCAGGGGGATGAACCGCCAGCCCCAGCGCCAGAGCAAGCAGTGCAAGAGAAACCTCGTCCCAAAGCAAAGGCCAAAGGGTGCCCCAAGTCGAAAGCGCACACCCGCAAACCCAGGAAGAAGCAGAGCGAAGACGATCGCAAGAGGGTGCACCGGGCTGCCTGCAAGCCCTGGCACGACAAATTCCTCAGCAAGGGGTGTTGCGGAGTGCAAAGGCTGCAAAGAGTGCAAAGAGAAGCAGAAAGTCCGCAACTGCAGCTGCAGGTGCAAGGTCCCAAAGAACAACAAGAAGACGAAGACGGATGCAGCGATCCCAGAGAGCAAGAGCAAGAAGGCAAAGACATCTGTGTCTGCAGAAGTCCTGAGCACCAGCAGCAGCAGCAAGAAGGTGGACGCCGCAGAGATCCCCAACCCAGAGGCCCGAGCATCAGCAACTGCAAACATCCCGAAGGACAGCTTACTCTCCCACAATACAAAAATAAAGGACCCCTAATTTCCAAGCATTTTTTGGGGATGGTGGGTTGCTCGCAATGTTTTTGTAGCCCCAAGTGTTTGGAAAAAATCAGCGCAGAGGCCATGGTCGTGGATGGCATTGACATCAAGGTTACCAATGACCGCAGATCTACGAAGGCGGCCTTCATCAAGGCTTATTCGGCAAAGGTCACCGCAGAACAGGAGGGTCGTGATGGGGAGATGTGGACAAATTCCAAAAAGTATACATGGGTGTTGAGGCTTTGATGAGTTCAAGTTTCTGAATAGCAGCAAGAACAAAGGCTGTACCTCTATCCCCGCTTCGTTGGTTTTGTTGGGATGAGAGCTTTTTGGCCATAAGAGCTTACAATATTGTATTATAAACCACTACAGGTGGCTTGGGGGTTGCGCAGGGATGGATCTTTCATCGAGGCGCTTGCGAGAAAAATAAGACTTCTGATGGATGTTTGATTGATTTGCGATGGAGTTTTGACCACGTTCTCCCAGGGTTGCTCCTTCCTGATCCCGCTTTCGCTCAGTTGGATTGGGCCTTTCAATCTCTACCTGAAGCGGTTCCGGATTGTGGCAGGCAAAGAACCGCGGTGTTTTTTACGACTTGGGTTGTGGTGCTGGCAAGGCGAGAAAAACCGGGTTGGATTGTTGCTTTCTGCTGCAGCCGCAGCACCGGCAGCTGCTGAGAGGGTTGAATGGTCGGGTTGTTTGGTTGGCCTATTTTATTTCTTACCCTCAAATTGATCAAATAACTTTCATTAAGTTGTGGTAACTTCGACCCATGATTATTGATTCCAACCAATTATTCTTTCCAAATTCAATCCCAAAAAACTTGAATATAAACCCAAATACCTTGAATGAAACATAAACATGAATCAGTGATTTAGTCGGTGAATCAATGAATCTGTGAGTCAATGTGTCAATGTGTCAACGAATCGATGATTTGGTGAACCGATGATGCAGTGAATCAACGAACCTGTGAATCAAAGAACCAATGAATCAGTGAATTAGTGAGTTGATTAATCAAAGAAGCAATTAAGCAGAGAATCAATGAATCAATGCACCAATGAATCAATGAATCAGTGAATCAATGAAGCAACAAAGCAATGAGCCAAGGAAGCAACGAAGCAGTGATTCAATGAATCCATGAACCAATGATTCAATGAACCATCGGACCAACGAGTCAGTGAATACATGAACCCATGAATCAAGGAACAAATGAATGAATGCATGAATGGATGGATGGATGAGTGGGCTACTTCTTTGTTGAGCTATACTTCCGCTGAGGTACCTCTTCTCTCAGCTTCCCAGATACCTCTTCTGCAGCTTCTGCAACCCAAGTCTTCTCTTCACGCATCCAGCACAGTGCGTTTTGCAACCTCAGCTGCCATTCCGCATAGCGCAAACGTGGCAGTATGTTGAAAAACTACCTTATACAATGCCTTTAGCAACCTCCAGCTTTCATCTTGCATAGCAGGGCGGTGTCATTTCTGCTTTGCTGCGCGCAGCGCTGCGTGCCAAATTTGTCACAAGCGGATGCAAAAGCCCGCATAGCTGGAGCGTCGCATCACATTGACCAACGGTGCGGACTCGACCACACAAATACGGGGTTGTTAATTGTGAAATCGAGCTCTCGCTACACTCATGAGCACATTTTACCGACCATCTTCCAAAAGTGTTCCGAAGGCCCCTTTTTTTAATGTTTTGAAGTGCAATTCGAGCTCTCGCTACGGTGCGTTTTGGTTCAACATTTTTGCCAGATCGAGGCCCACAACCGCGGAAACAGAGAAACTACTTCGGCGACCCCAGGAGCCACATTACCTCAAAAAACACAGAGTTTCGCACACGATAGTGTATTCACCCGTGAATTCACACACTCCCGAACTGTTGCACTTCCCGACTACTTGATGATGGGTGGTTGACATGATGATGTGGTTGACATCATCATGATGTGGTTGACATGATGGTGTGAATGCTAACCAAAACCATCGTCCGTAACTCGAAAGTTTTCGAACTAGATTTCTACTTTGGTAATAGGCGGTTGCTTTCGAAAATGGGCTTTGAAAAGACAGAAAATAAGGGCGAAATGCTCGGAACCAAGGAACGATTTTGACTTGATGACCTGACAAGTTTCCAGCGAGGTCTGTGTCTCCAGCCAGATTGGCTGCAAGATGGGCTGCCGTTTTTGCGCCACAGGCGCGGGAACTGGTACCGGAGGACTTCCCTCCTTCCCTCGGAACATCTGGAGTAACATCTGGAGTTGACATGAGTTGACTAGGAGGGGTTTGGTTTTTCATGCAATCCTTCATTTGAATTCACTTGGCAGGTAGAAATACTCACATGCAAGGCATGGCATCAGGGGGTTTTTTCGGTTTTTTCCAAGAGAACCTGGTAATTACAACTCGCCTTCAATGCTGGGTGGGCCGACCCCCACACCTCCAAACAGAGGCCAGACTGGCGGATGTCTGCAGTTGCTGCGACCCCCCCCGTCAGTTGCGCCTCCAGACGTCTTACGAGGAATTGCCTTCAGCCGAAAAGAGGCGCCGCATCGCCCAACTCCAATACGAGACACGCCAACTGGAACTGTCTCAGGAATTGCCAACTTGGCGAAGTGGAATCTCACAGTTTGGAGATGAACATCGTCCAAAGACATGGTTGTCGACGGGACTTATCAATGCCCCATGTACCTCCAGTCTGAGTGATTTTCCCATACACCAGGGTTGCCCAGCCATGTTGGTTTACACGAGGGTAGACGATCATGTGGGTGAAATGCCCTTACATGTTCTTCCTTTGTTGCTGTTAAATCCATGTTCACATGTCACATGTGTTTCTTCTTGAAATCCCTAAGATTTGCTGGCGAAATCGCACCATTTGTTGTTTTGGAGGTTCTATTTGCTCCATAGATTTTTTCAACATTCACATGTTCTCCCCAACATGGCCTAAATCAAAGGTATTTGTGTGAAGTTTGGAGACTTGCCTTCGTACTTATGCTAGAGATACTAAGCACCTAAAGTGTGTTTGTTTTTTGCAGTTGGTATCTGAGACTGTCAGTCTGAACTATACCTACATTATGGATCCTCATGGAGTAGGATGTTTTTCAAAACAGTGGTACCCCAAAACCCCCCAATGAATGTCATTCCCAGTTCCAAATTTTAAGCACCCCCGAATCACATTGTTTCATTATTACACTGTAACCCAATGATATTCCCAATGTTGCTGGTTAAATCGTATAATTGCTGTTCTTAACATTAATATACGCATTTATATTACTATTACTACTGACATTCATATATTATCTGTATGTGTATATATATATATATTTTTGTTGTTTCCCTGACCTTCCACACATCATGAAATTGATTGGTTGTTGCTTGAGTCATTGAGTCACCATTCTGTTGCTACGGATTTTAGACTACCAACAAGGTTCAGCCACTGTTTGGTCTTGGAAATCCAGGGTACATGTCTATATAGATAGATATATAGATAGATAAATTTGCGCATCACCCAAAACTGTCTAATGACTCGTTTTACCCCGGTGTAAATTGTATACCATGACTACAAACTGGTGGGTATTCCATGAGTCCCAAATGACTTTCAGGGTATACATTGCCATCATTATCCATAATGCTTGGAGTATATGTATCGATAATGATTGAACCCCTGCATGTATATATATATATACATATCATATATGTATTTATTTAATTATATTTGTTTTTTGTGTTTTTATTCATTTATTTACTTATTTATTATGTAAATAATTACGATTATATTGTAAGCATATATATATATATATAAGGATTAGATCCCCAGATTTTATGCTTAAAAATCCCTAGAGTTACCATACTAACCCCCCAATTGTTCACCATCCACCGGGAAGGCACCATGGGTCTGCGCGGTCAGCTCTCGGCCGGCGAAATCCTGGAGCAACTTTTGCACGCCAAGCGATGGGCACGTGCGGTGACCAAGGCTGGGAGAGGTGGACCAAAGTCGAGAGATTTGGCGATTTGGTCCATATGAATGGTGAAGATTTGCTGGTAATATCATTTTTTACGGTAATTTACCAGTCATATTCTCCATGTCATAATTTACCAAAATCATATTGGATTGGTTGAACACCATGGTTTCCTGTAGATGTTCCCTTGAACCAATCCAATGACAATAGCATATATTTCATGGAGAAGGCTTATTCTATGAATATTTTCGTAAGTATGGAGAAATCGAGAAATCTAAGATTATCTAAGTATCTCATGGATACATAATAGAGTTCATGCCATACTGCCATACTTATTTATGCATATACTTAATATACATATGGATTCTATGAGATAAGATTTAATATATTTAATGTGTAACCAACAATATGATGTTTGAATATATTTGATATACGTGGACCCTCTGTTTGCACCCATAAAAGTGAAGTGTTTTTGCCCATGATGAATTAGTACTGTAAGTACTTTGTAGGGGTATTTGGAAGTCTAGGTAGTTGGGTGGGGTTCTTTGAAGCAACTTCGAACTGGGTTGGGACATGATTTCTTGAAAATGGTTGGAAAAGTTGGAACTTGACCACTGAAAGGTTGGTTTTAATGGGGAAATGGCTGGAATATCACAGTTGCTCCAGCCTATTGTAGGTGAAATATTGCCATTCCTTTTGATGGAATTGATGATTTTACCTCTTTAACAGTTTTGTTTCCCCAAACCCATTTGTGGTGTTGGGAGCACCTGTGATGATGATTTAATGGAGATAACCCAGAATAAAGTTGGATTTCATGGTGATTTTGTGATTTAGTGATTCTGTTTTTGTGGGGTCACACAAGGCATATATATATATGTATATATATATGTAGTATATTCATACAAACAAATGTATATCTCTTCAACTTACTCGTACAATTATGTGTGTATCCTTATCAACTCTTGGGCAGGTAAACCCAGTAACATGGGTAGTTCAAAACCCAGTACCCGCCGCAGAATCAAACGTGGCAGAACCACAGAGCCTAGGGAAGCAGAATCAAAACGTTGAAACACAATAGGAATTGGATTTTAGTTGCTGATAAGATATATATATATATATATATGCATATTATTCTATGTATATTTATCTATAATTCAATTAGGAAAAGGAATCGGAATTGACCAATATCACAAAACTTTGGATATTGGTGGGTTTTCTTTGCACCTTTATTTTCGAAAGAAAGTGAGGCACCACTGATGCCCGCTGTCCGAGGAAAAGAAGCCCCGGTTCGGAATGCCTGGAGCCCAACGGGGTGTTGGGTCCGGGAAGCGACGTCACGGAATGATGGAATTGGAACGGGAATGATAGGGGTATACATATTATATATATATACATGGCCAAGAAATATACCTTATATATGAATAGTTTCAGGTTAATGGATATGAATCAGTTTCAGGTGAATAATATCGTTCTACTGATCCACATGTTTGGTTTGAAAAGACCGAAAGACCTCCCCACATCCCATGAAGGACTTGTTTTGGGCATCCACAATGCCCAAGCGAGGTGGTGTTTATGGGCATGGGTGAGCCACTGGACAACTATGAGAACGTCATGGCGGCCGTCAAGGCGGGATGCCCCGGGCCGTCAAGGCGGCTTTTGTTTGTCGAATTTTCAACTGTTCAATCATACATTGTGAGGGCCCCCAGATGCAACTCCAGTTATAAAATCTGTAAAATGACTTACAACATGGGGTAACATACAGTAAGTTATAACATAGATCAACTTCCATAAATAATGTTGAATTTATAACATGAGATGTGGAGATATATCTCAAGTTAGGTCATGCCAGTTGCAGTAAAAATAAAATGAAGTTACAGAAGTTACAGAACTTAGGTTTTTGTTTTTTGTGGCTGATGTCGATTCATGTTTGTCATGACAGTTTTTCAGTGCTCAACGGGATGTTTTTTCCCGCAACGACATGGCAGCGGCAAAAACAGAAGTTTGCCGAACCTGTGAAGGGCATGGATCCAGAAACGCGCATGTGTTTCCGCACATAGCACCCCCAAAAGTAGAAAACGCGCATGTGTTTCCAATCCAAAATCAGAAACATCATAGAAACGCGCATGTGTTTCCCATTACAAAGTATAAAACTCATGGAAACGCTCTGTTTCCACACTCACAGCACCCGGTAGCATGAAAACACGCAATGTGTATAAAATGTGTTTCCACCTCCGCGATAATAATCCCTATCTTCAGTGAAACTTTGAATGCGTTTCCTTTACAGATTGGAAACGCGCGTGTGTTTCCACCAAAGAACAGCAAAATGATATGGAAACGCGTATGTGCATAAAATGTGTTTCTTTGTGTTTACTGTACAACTGCACGTACCGGCATGGACCACCGCTGAAAGCGATACGGTTATGTTACTTCCCGCCATGAAAACATTGTATTTTGCGGCCAAAATCGCAAGATATTCTTGGGCGAAACAAAGAAACTGCAGAAACCAAACAATGCTTTAAATGTTTGTGGGATATCAAAAAATCAACCGAAAACAAAACCCTTAGTTATCGAAATTATAACTTAAGATACAAATCCTACAACATAAGTTAACATATCTTCATGTTATGTATCTTAGGGGCATCACAATGTAGAAATTGGATCGTTATTCTCATGGAAAATCAGCATTTCAAATATTATAGGTAAATCAACTCTAACACTCTAAATGGCAATGTTCAAAAACGGTAGGATTACCAGGCCGGGTAACTCTGATAGTTGAAAAAAACCAGCGGAGGTGATGCCTGAGCACGCCTTTGGCGTGGCATTGAAGCATCCTGGCACAAAAAATGGGTCCTGGGATGGCCTGGGCATGGGGCCGTGGGTACTGATGAAAAATGCCACGTTTTATGATGTTTGATTAGGTTGATTGCTGAGTTAAGCATGTTAATGTATCATCATGTATCTATATATCCCATTCGATACGCTATATATGGTGTGTTTATTCAAATTACTTTTGACGATGAAACGCATTGCTCCTGTTTGATATACACCACTGTCAACAACCCCACGGCAATGGCAGAGCTTGAGATGCCCTTCCCGACGGTTGCTGTCAGTTGCTGAATTCAAGATATATCATGACGCTTCTCCTCAACTTTCCACGGTAGGTTGTATGCGGTGTCACACCTACAAGGTGGCTCATAAACTCCATTAACTACAGATACGTCAGACTCAGATACGTCTTCCGTAAACCCTAACTATACTAGTGATAAACCAACATTAGGTTCACATTTTCATGTTTCTTCCTAATTTTCCCTATGATATCCCCTATGTTTTTCACCTTTTTTCCATTAAGCCATGGGCCTTTTCCCGGGCTGGGCTGAGGAATGTGACCATCTCCACTGTGGGTGTCCCCGGTCGCATTCGCGCGCTGGGCCATGAGATCCCGGCGGGGCCCAATCTGGCGCTGTCTCTGCATGCGCCCACGCAGGAGAGAGCGATGGCAGCGCGAGGAGTTAATATAGTTTTCCTATCATACATATGGCCATGGCTATAATTCTATTTATATATATACATACATGTGCATATTTTACATATTATATATATATATATATTTATATTTATATGTATGTATGTACACAGGTTTCATTTGAAAAATCTGCAACTTGAAACATATTTCACTATCCCTTGAACATGTTTCATTTGAAATATGCACTGTTGAAAGTTGTAGGTGTGCCTTATGTCTTAAAGGATCCGGAAGACGTTCGACCTGGGTATTGTGGTCCTGGGGGAGAATTCCAAGGTGTGTCTGTGCAGATTTACAAAGTAGAGGACTTTTTTTAAGCATTTCAACGTTGAAATGAGGAGCAAGTTGCAATTTCCGCTTATCCGATAATTTAGAACTCAATTGGGTTTGTTTGAACATAGGGTAGCACGAAATCTAGTGGTCAATCATCATCTCTTCTTTTAAAAAGGCAAGTTTGGAGGTATACGGCATTTTCAGACAGACCCAAATGTGATCGGGAACAACGCCAAAAAAGATAGAAGTTCGTAGAATCCTACTAAAAACAAAAAGGGAAACACAGTAACTCACATAGTTTCACTTTGCTGGGAGTTCCTCTATCCCATTTTATCCCATTTTATCCAGAATTCTTTAAGATCTGGTCCAATGACCTCACCAATGTCCCTTTTTTTCAGCAACGAATCGATAGCCATAAGATGGCCCTCAGTTATAATGTTGGTGTTCTAAAGCCCAATAACATCCAATAACTATAGTTTATGTGTGATTATTTGTGCAGTTTTTGGGTTATGTTCACCAACTTGGCTATATATCGTTTGGGGGGCACAATGTAATCATTATGGTGATACTTATTCACATACATAGGTATACTTAACCATAGGTAATCAGATAACCATGACTGACTGACCAAAGATTATATTTACCACATCCTTAAAACAACAAATCATTGGCACGATCATTAACCATCATTAAGCATAATATCAGCCATAGGGAATACTAACCAATGATTGGTATTTATCATTTTTTGGTTTGATATGATCTACTCTCCAGTAAACTAACATAGCTATGGGAAATGATGCATTTATAAATGATTTACCTATTAAAATAGTGATTTGTCAGTTCGCTATGTTAGTTTACCAGAGGGGATATATTAATCTATTATGTTTAATATATCCAATGATGGGAAATATTAATAATATATGGAAAATATCAATATATAAATGGTTGATAACCCCCGTGATAATCTAAGAGGTAATGAGCTCAATATTGATAATGTATTAATAATATGATTATCATTATCTACTATCCCCATGATAATCCCCATGATAATGATTGATAATCCTCAATGTTTGGTTAATGAGCTCATATAACCCCCCCATCTCCCCAGGATCTTCGCATCGAGTTGGTCCCCACGGCGCGGGGGTTGGTCTTGGAGGACTTGATGCGCGAGGTGGACGACTATGGCGAAGTCACAGGGAACAAGGCAGCAAATTTGGTGCTTTTGGATGGGAAAATCATCAAGAAATCATGGCAAAACCATGGGTTTTAGATGGTCTTATGGGGATTTAACCAACAAACATCATGGTAAAACAGGGATATAGTGAAGATATGTGAAGATATCATGTGACATGAAATTTCCAGGTACCAAGTTACCGTAAGTTTCACTCAAGCCGTGGCGATACGTGAGGGGAGATGGGATGATTTTTCACGGTGTTTCATCCGCTGAGTTCACTGGAACTGCCCGGTAAACGTAAAGAAAAAAACATGGGAAGTCCATTGGAAATGATCTCTTAATATCTGTTAGTGCTGGACATGCCATGTTTTTTGGCTATTTTTAGAGCTATTTTTACATATTTATAATATTTTATAGTATACTATATAGGTTACTGGAGGCTACAAAAAATGTCATCTCGTTTCCCAGAAATTCCGATCGCTCATTAAACCCGAAATTAAAGCCGCAGAGTTTCCATGTATAATCTCTCTTCCTTTTCCCAGTACCCCTTCTGTCCGAAGTTTGGCTGGGTCTGTTGCCTCTGTTACCTGCCCTGCGAGAAACCAGCGTCGTGCTGCGTCTTTGCCTTCTCCTACCTCTATGTCAGAGCGTGGTGCTTCGGATGTCCTTTTGGGTATACCCCCACTGCTCACTCTCTTGTCTCGGATGGGAGGTCTGCTGCGTCCATGTCCTGCCGGGGCTCTGTTGTGGATGGTTGCGGGGAGTCTGTGGCCACCCCTTCTGTCAGGTCTCTGGTGTCCGGCCCTTCCCAACCTGGCATCCTCAGCTTGCCGGACCGTGTTCAAGCAAGTGTGACGCCTTGCAATAAAAAAGCTGCCTCTGTTCTGTCCCTGCCTCCGAGTTCAAAGCCGCGTCAGCAGTTGAGGTCTGTCCAGAAACAAAGTGTTTCTGGGAAAAGCCTCCCCCCGGGGAGCGTTTGTAAACAGTCTGTGGTTACTCAGGATGGAACGTGTAGGTTAACTCTCCCTCCGGGGAGCAAGAAAGGAGATGGGTTTTGTTTTTCCCTCCCTCCGGGGAGCGAGTCAGGTAAAAAAGGAAAAGCTCATGTCTTGGAAGACACACCGCAACAGGACTTGGAACCGTCCGGACCTGAGATCAGTCAAGACCAAACCCTGTGGTAGCAATGCAGTTTTCCTGGTTGCAAATACGAAGTTTGGCGTACTCCGGGTACTCATCACCACACGAATAGAAGATGGACTCACCTGAGGTATACCCATAAAGTTCCGGTCAAAGATATCCCTAAAGTTGATAGGTCCTCTCTTGTCAGTGAAGCCCAAATTGGGAGAAAGGAAAGGACTTGGGAATTCATGTTTCCTTTGCTCAAAAAGCATGGATGGAACGGTATGCACCTTCACCCTGGTAAGCTTACGGGAAAGACTGCAACTGTGACCTGTGGCACTATGAGGATGCCTTGGCCATCAAAGAACCTTTGCTTGATGTTTGGCGTAGACAGTATTTGAGAAATGGATTCAAACCCTCCCCAATGGCCAAAGCTGATATGTTTTCAGTCTGTTTGCGTGTGCCTTCACAACTTCTACACCGACTCCTTGCCCTGAGCGGATCTGTGGGAGCCTTCTGTGAGCCTCGCTCTGCAGACGGCACTGAAGTGTTGGCCGATTTTGTTGTTGTCTGGACGCCGAAGCGCAGTGTCCAGGAACTCATGCATTTGAAGCAGACAAACCCTGCTATCATTGGATTGGCTAGGGTAGGAGACAGAAAAGGCCTGCGTGTGATGGCCAACCAAGCTTCTTGCAATTCATCACCTCCTGAGGCCTGATACGGTGTACTTGCCCCAGGGTCAGCGGACAGTCTTCATTGTCGGTCTTTGGCACAGCCGTGCAGCCATATGTAAAGCCATGAAACAAGCGGGGTGGGAATGCCGCCCATTGCAACCATCAGCCCCAAGCCCCGGCCGTGGGTCCATGTGGTTAGTACAAGCTGTTGATGAGCCCCCAGTTGCCATCATCCCTACTACCCATGGTGAAGTTGTGGTCACGAAGCAGAAGAATGAACCTGTCGGGAAGCCTCCTGTTGTCCCACCTGTTGCTGCTGCATCGACCCTTGCCTTATGTGGAACCCAATCCAAGCCAGTGCCTGATGCAGATCCATGGAGCGTTAAAGACCCCTGGGGTGGATTCAAACCAAGCACTCCAGCCCCGATGGACACCAATGAGAGCATTCAACAGCTTGAAGTCCGTGTGCAGAATGCAGTGCTTGCCAAATTGCCCCCCCCTCCAATGGAGGACGATGTGCCTGAACGTATGAGTCAGCTTGAGGACCAGGTCCAGCAACTCATGGCCAAACAACAAGGGCTTGAGACTCAGTTCCAGGACTTTTCTTGCCAGTCTGGACAGCAGCTTTCGTCGATGCAAGCTCAGTTGAACTCACACGGCCAGCAACTGCATGGCCATATGGAAAATCAGAACCAGGCTATTCAATCGATGTTTGCCCAACAAATGGAACAGATTCGCGGACTGCTGTCCAAGAGACCTCGCGATGAACTTGAATGACGGTGCGGGCAGGGGTGCAGTCTCTTAGCGTTGATTTTGGTTTGCATTTGCATTGGTTTTGTGTGTGCCCTGAGCCCATTTGTCAGTATCATGTCGGGTCTTGTACCCCTGCTGGCTGTGTGCCAGCGCAGAACACCTGCCCGTTTTTGCCCCAGGTTTGCCTGGTATTTTGCAGTTTTGGTTTTCAGTTGCCGTGTGGGCGAAGCCTCCAATCCGGGCCCACCTGCTTCAAGTTTTGTTTTGGGTGCCTTCAACCCTTCGGGGCTACGTGGCAAGTCGCCCTACATAGTCTCACATTTGGCCCACGGGGATTTATGGGCTGTATCAGAATCACACCTGTGCCGACAAGGAGTGTTGGACTTCAAGGCGGGGCTACGTTTTGCCAACAGCCCCTACCCATACTGTGTCTCCGGCCACCCTGTGCCTGCTCAAAATTCAGCACTCACCAAGGCCAGTGGAAAGGGGTTGCTGTGCTGTCCAAGTTTCCTACCAGGGCGTTGCAGATACATGGGCCACCTGAGGTTTTCTTGTCCTCCAGAACGTTGATCACCACAACCCTTCTGAATGACATTTGGGTCACTGGGGGTGCTGTGTACGGCGAACCTGATGGACATTTATACCCCCAACATTTGGCTCATAATGAACTGCTGTTGAGCACTGTGGTTGGGCAAGTTTGCAATTTAAATGTTGGACCGAGATTTATTGCTGGAGATTGGAATTGCTTGCCATCTAGCTTGCCAGCTTTTGACATGCTCCACAGCTCTGGTTTTCGTGACTTGCAGGATGTTGCCTGGTGCAGATGGGGAACGCCTCCCAAGCCAACTTGTAAGCACAAAACACGGAAAGATTTTTGCTATATTTCGCCCGAATTGCAAGCTCTTTTGCTGGAATGCCAGGTCATTGACGATGTTTGGCCTGACCATGCTGTTTTGCAAGGCACCTTCAAGGGGATTGCTATGACTGTGCCGCAACAGATATGGTCTCAACCACAACAGTTTACATGGCCCCATGATTGGCAGGTTGAACCCAGCATTTGGCATTTTGCTGAAGGTGATGTTGATGACAGGTATCAGGCAGTGTGGCACCACATTGAAACTTCTGCTGCTGCTGCTCTGCCCTTTGAAGTCCTGAAAGCGCAATTTGGTAGAGCTTGCGCTCGTAAGACTAAAGCAGTTGTGCCAGGTAAAAATTGCCCCTGTCAAGAAAGGACGCAATGGAGACTTTGCTCCGCAGTTTCACTGTGCCTCTTTTAGGCATGCGCAATGGATCCGCCAAGTACGCAGATTGCAGTCGTTTGTGCACTTTGCCAAACTTTATGATGCAGATTTGGGAAGCAGCCATTCTCTTGCGCTGTGGGGGTCTATCATCCGTGCCAGGGGGTTCCTCCCGAACTTTAGTGACTGGTGGCTGCAAAGCCAGTTTCGAGTCCACGGAGCTCCTGCCAGAATCCCAATGACTCCTCCGGCTGCAGATACCGCTGCCAAAATTTTTGATTCTGTTGCTTTGGCAGTTCGATCTTTTGAAGCTCAACTGCAGAAATCTTCCCGAGCCTGTGCTCGGCTGCGAGGAGAACGAAACCCCAATCTCATTTTCCAGGACATCAAAAATCATGCTGACAAGGGAATTGATCTTTTGCTACAACCCTTAGAAGCCCAGATCATGGAAGTCAACCCTGACGACCTTTCCATTGCCCTTGACCGTAGTTTGGAATTTGACCCTGCCAGACCCCTTTCTTGCCAGGGCACTGCACTTGAGATCATTCATGCTGAGGCTGACTGCGTATGGGTTACTGACATTACTAATGTTGCTGTTGGTGATACAGTGGTGCAAACACAAAGAATTGGTAGTGACTGTGACCTGTTTGCTGCCTTTTTGTCAGCTTGGAAAGAGAAGTGGACCCGACATGCTGACGTTCCGAAAGAGCGATGGACTCCCATCCTGAACTTTGCCAGAGAAAAGATGCCGACCATTCAGCTTTCCCACAATTCCATGCAGCCGACACACTTGCGTGAAAGTATCTGTCAAAAGAAGAGTGCCACCTCCCGGGGTTTGGATGGAGTCTCACTCCAAGACCTGAAGGCCCTTCCATTGCTTGCACTACAGAATTTTTGTGACATGTTTTGTTGGGCCGAGCAACATGGTGAATGGCCAAGTCAGGTCATTGCAGGTAAGGTTACCAGTATTGCCAAAGTCGATCAGCCCCGTTCCCCTATGGATTTTCAACCCATAACAGCGTTTGGCCTTCTTTATAGATGCTGGGGTTCTTTCCATTCCAAGCGCATTCTGCAGGCCCTTGACCCTGTCTTGCCAGTTGGACTTTTTGGGTCTCGCCCCAGGTGTTTTGCCGGCCAAGTTTGGTCCCAGGTGCTTTGGAGCATTGAGCATTCTCAAATCCATGGTCTCCAACTGTGTGGAATTTTGGCTGATTTGCAGAAAGCGTTCAACCTGTTACCGAGACTGGTAGTGTTTGAGGCCTGTGCTGTGATCGGTGTTCCTTTGCCTGTCCTGATTGGTTGGGCAGGTGCCCTCAGCAACATGCCACGCCGATTCCAAATACGTAGTTCCCTGAGCCCTGCCATTTATTCATCATGTGGCTTTCCTGAAGGTGATGCTCTGTCCTGCGTTGCCATGATGGTTATTGACATCATCTACCATGAATGGTTTCGCCACTTCCGGCCGTGTGTGCAACCAATTTCATATGTTGATGATTGGCAATTGCTTTTGTGCGACCCTGCTCGGCTCCCTGGTGCCTTTGCCAAACTGGATGAGCTGGTCAACCACCTGGACTTGCTTTTGGATCGTAAGAAAACCCATGTTTGGTCTGTTCACACTGAAGGTAGGAAGCAGCTTCGAGCTGAGGGCTTCACTGTTTCGGCTTACTGTAAGAACCTAGGTGCTCACTTTCAGGCATCTAAAAAGCACACCAACAGTGTCCAAATGGATCGCATCCAAACACTCACAGGTCTTTGGGCCCGACTTCGCTAGTCCAGCTGCCCGTATGCACTGAAAGTACGTGCGCTGAAATGTGCTGCTTCGCCTAAGGGGCTTCATGCAATTGCTGCTACTATACTGAGTCTCAGCACCTTCCAGTCTTTGCGTGCGGGGGCTATGAAAGGTCTAAAGGAGGACCACTCTGGTAGCAATGCCCACTTGCACTTAGGTTTGGTAGAAGACCCCAGCACTTTGCAGACTTTTCGATTTGTAAAGGATTGTGGTAGACCTGACGTTGTCAAGTCGGTGCTTGCCCAGTTGGTAGCTGACCCTAGCCTGGCCCAGAATAGCATCACTGCCACTCTCCTTACACGCGTGCAGTTTTTGGGGTGGCATGTTGATCCAAGGGGGTGCCTGGTCGATGCTTTTGGAGCTTTTTCCCTATTCTCTATCTCATGTGTTGAGCTGCAGATCACGAAAGGTAGCTCCAGAGGGGCTACCTTGAGTTTTACTTTACGAAGTAAAGGGGAGGGCGGCCAGCCCCGTTACCTGATTCTTCAGGAGATTGCTAGTCATTTTAGTACCCCCCCCCTCCACACCTCCCACGCACCCTAAGAGCAGACTCAAAACATTGTAATTTACAGTATTTTTGTTCTTTTCGGATCAAGAAACCACATTTTGTTACATGGTGAAACCTCCGTAAATACCAGTGTTTTTGCTAGGTGCTGGCCAAAAACCACTGTAAATACCGTACTTTTTGCTACCAGAGGCAAAAAATATCGTAAATACCGTGGTTTTGGGCTTCGGATCCACGGAACAACAACAACAGCAACAACAACAAGAACAACAACCATAACAACAACAACAACAACAACAACCAGAACAACCAGAACAACAAGAACAACAAGAGCAACAAGAACAACAACAACAACAACAAACAACGAGAACAACGAGAACAACAAGAACAACAAGAACAACCAGAACAACAAGAACAACAAGAACAACAAGAGCAACAACAACAACAACAACAACGACACGAACAAGAACAAGAACAAGAACAACAAGAGCAACAAGAACAACAACAACAACCACAAACAACAACAACAACGACAAGAACAAGAACAAGAACAAGAAGAAGAAGAACAAGAAGAACAAGAAGAACAACAAGAACAACAAGAAGAACAAGAAGAACAAGAAGAACAAGAACAACAACGACAACGACAACGACAACGACAACGACCAGCACGACAACAAAAAGAAGAAGAACACGAACAAGAACACCTGCGGGTGCGAAGGACCAGCTCTTTTCTTTCCTTGTGGCTCATGAGCAACTGGGGTGTGTGTGTGTGCCAGTGCATACTGGGCGCAGCCTCGGGATCGAAATTTTCGCGCACCCGCCGGCCCGTTAACAAGAAGAACAAGAACCCGAACACCCCCCCCCCCCCCCGCAGTCGATTCCCCCCTGGTCCGCGCTCAAAAATGGATTTGATGCATGTTGAACAGCTAGCACGAAGAAGGGAGTTGATGTCACATGAAAGCATGTTGACACTTTGGGCATGAAAAACGTTGGTCATTCAAGTAGCGACCAGAAAGATGGGATGTGGTGAGGTGAAATGTATTGTGGTGAATGGTTAACAATAGTGATCAATGAAAAAAGTTGATGAATGAGAATCTGTGTGTATATATATATTATATATCTGGTAATTATAACTGTTGTCCTTGTTCGTATATAGATGAATGTTAGTATATAGATGATGTACATGGTCTAATTGTTGCAACATAGCGTGTTTATTATTGCTACCATTTGTTTGTTAGTATTGTTGTCATCTATCATAGAATTGATAAACGGAATTGTTGTGCAAATCCGTTGACTCGGGGATAGTATAGTATTTCACAGATGGCATCCCTTCTGTTTCTGTCGGGGGTTGCATGACCATAATCAAGCTGACACCTGCAAGAGCTGGGAGAAGAGTTCCTAGAGGCCTGGTTGAATCGGACACTGGCAGCTTGGAAGGGTTGGTCCTACGAACGGCTTTATGATCTTTATGCATGTTGTTTGTCCATCAATGACTATGATATCCCATTTGGGCTCAAGGGCGACGCGTAACTCTTTCACAAATGTTTGAAAAACTTCTAGTTTTTTCAGAGACGCGCTGGGTTCTTCATTTGACTGCCTGTTCCACATTGGTCAACTGGCGTGTGTTGAATTTGCCACGTAAAGTGGGAACGTTCATTTCGGAAACATGTCCAGTTGGGTTTCCAGCAAACTGCACTTCGCGGCGTAGCTGGCAATGAGCGCGGCGCCTGCATGGCCGGTGACAAAGCAGCTGTTCCTGTCGATCGCAAAATTGCAGGCTATTGCAGTGGAGTGACGGGTTCCAAAGTTTGGCCAGCTATGTTTAGAGTGAGAGCGCATCTTAGATCATCTTCCGTGTGTCGTATGCGCAATCTTCCAATCCTGTGAAGCCCAGATGAGTAGGAATATATAGCGTTGCAATGCATCGGATTGATCGTGGGAGGATAGAAGGCAGAAAGCGAAGAGGGCAGTTGCTGAGGAGGAGAAATGAATGCATTATGGTACAAGCACGGAGCTATTTCTGTGATGAAAAATGTTTGCACTGCAGTCGGTTCAATTTCAAAGTGGCCCAACCTGTGCCGTGTGCAGGACTGGTGTGAGCAGCCGTCTGCGAAACGTGGCACGCCCACGGTGAAGGCGCCAAGAATGCGTTCAAGGTCATACTTGCAAGTGATTGAAGATTTAAATGCCAAGGGGATGATCTAGGTGTGTTTCCAGCCACCCCGTGCCATAGTGAGTAAGAAGAACCACACGCAAGACAATGTTAGTTGGCTTGCGGGCAACTTCTGTGAAGTAGAGGGGCTAAAGTGCCTCAACCGAACGACGCTCGGTTGAGGCACTTTGCGTGTGGATCTGTAGAGATATAAGATAGTTTATCTTGCGAAACACAGTTCTGTCCCATGATCTTCCGAGCGAATGGTGCATCGGTTCCCTGATCCGCCATAGGCTGGGATCAAGCGCCCTGCTCCTACGGTCGCTCCGCACTTGTTGGGGAAGGCCACAGGGAGGGGAGCGCAAGCCACATGTTGTCCGGATCATGGACCGAGCATTTTGTTAAATATCGCCTTGTCATTGGGCCGGTTCCTCCTATATGTTTGTCTGTGTGTGTTTCATTTCTAGTGTTTGTCTATTGTTAGATTGGGCCCACATTAGCTGGCCAGGACGGTATTCAAGGAACGATTTGCGTTTCAGACATTTTTGGACCTGGAAATATTGTGCCCTTTCAGGTGTTCCGCAAAGTTGGTGTTTCGATAGGTGGGCCTGTAGAATGGGGCTGCTTGATATGAACCCAAGACTATTCATTCTAATTGTCGTTCGTCTAAGTCTACTTAAGGTTAACCCTCTTATGTGTTATGCGTTTTCAATGTTGCTGTCTGTATAGACTAATTATATATCTTTCTATATATAACATCTCTATATATATATAATTATATATTTATACAGATATATTGTACAACACCTGCAATGTCAACCTTGCAATGATATCCCCCATTGATCTAATAATTTTTATTTTACATCCAGAACTCACGCAGGCTCCTGCGCTGCGCCGCTGCCAGCCTCGCTGCCCGATTTTTTCCTGTTCCTTGGCTTCATTTTCTGTTCTTGCTGCCCTGCTTGCCTCCTCTGTGGCTTCCTCCCCTTTGCCCAGGTACCTGCGCCCGGCAGCTTTGACGATCGCGAGAAAATGCGCGCGTCCCCTCTCCCCGTCGTTTTTTCTTCGGTTCCTTTCTTGCTGCCCTACCTTTCGTGTTCCCCCTCTCAAGTGAGGTTGGAATGGCAATGGCTGTCTGCGGTGACCAGTGCCACTAACCACCGAGCTAGCCTTGATGGCCTTGCGCGTGTGTGGCCCCAGTCCACGCGAAAATGGTTGCGGCAACAAAGTCCTAGTGACCAAGCATTGTACAGGAAACTCCTTTATGGCACACATGTGACGCAAGACGGTAAAAAGCACTGCAATGAAAGCCAGAGCGACATTTGCCCTTATTGCCAATGCAGTGACAGCAGATTTCATCGATGCTGGATTTGCGAACATTTTGCGTGGGCACGTGATGCTGTACCCTCAGAACTGCTTGCACAGATCCCCTCACTCCCGGAGGCTGTCACGTGTTTTGGGTGGGACCTGATGCCATCCACCATGTTTGGTGGCAGTATTTTGTGTCCCTTGCCTGTTCACGGATGGAAGTTGTGCCTACCCATGCTGCACCTGAGGTTTGCTGCCTGGGCTGTTGTTCTGGCCTCTGACGAGGATGATTTGACCATGGCCCACATCGTTGAAAGTGGGCAACTGCCTGGATTGCTCCAAGAGCTGAATTTTTTGCAGTTCTACGTGCGCTTGAAGCTGCAGCCACTGCCAAAGCGGAGGTTACGATCTGGACAGACTGCCAAGCAGTTGCTTTTCGCTTGCGGAAAATCTTGCATGGATCACAAGTTCGGCCTAGTAGCTCTCACGCAGACTTGTGGTTAAGAATTGCTGACATTGTGCATTTTCACACCACTAAGGTATCTGTTGCCAAGGTTGCTGCCCACCGTTCCATTGCCGATGCCAGAACTCCCTTGGAAGAATGGTGCTTCCGCCATAACATGATTGCCGATAGAGAAGCAGTTGCTGCCAACTTTCGGCGAGATGCGCAGTTCTGGCATTTGCACAGTAGCCACGTTAACGCCTTGCAGTATGTTGATTTCCTTAATGAGCATGTTCGCCGAGTGCTTTTGTTGATCAGCCAGGAGGTTGTCCGCGAGAATGATTCAGCTGCCACCCCCAATGTGCTTGATCAGCCTAGTGACATGAGCTTGCCTTTGCCCTCCTGGACAGGACTTTCACCATTGCTTTTGCCCGAGAAAGCCAAACGATGGTATGGGGATCATCTGGTTAGGCTTATTCTCAGCTGGTTTTGGGATGTCTTGTATACGAGTGTTGAACCTATGGTTTGGGCGTCGCACCTGCAGTTGTACGCGGACTTCATGGGCTCAACAGGTCATCCTGGACCTGTTAAGCTGAATGGGTGGAAAGACGGTGCCCTTGTTCCTTCTCTGGCACTCCATGGATTCACATATCGACTCGTTGGTTCACTAAACTCCTTAAAGAATGCCTTCGCCATTCAGGACAAACAATTGTGTACGATGTAGGACTGCCGAAGTCTCATATGGTTTGTATGCACACGGGGGTTTTTGCTGTGCCGTGGCCTTCTGCTCGTTTGAAGGCAGTGGATGCCTGTATGTTTTCTTGTATCCCACACACGTTCCAAAGACAAACCAAAGCAGTGGACGCTCTGCCCTATGTCAACGCAATTGCTGGATTGGAAGGTACGGTCATCTCTTCTGGTTAGCCCGACCCAAGACGGGTCACGTTTCCCGAGACGTGGCGCGCACAAGAAGGTGAGAAAGTGGTGGTTTGGAACATGCTTTATTTTCCATAATATATTGGGAATGTCATCATTCCAACTGACGAACTCATATTTTTCAGAGGGGTAGGTATACCACCAACCAGGTTCTATATGGCTTATGGATATGTGATATTAATGGATTACACAGCACTTATGTCTGGACTGTTTCTAACTTAACTGGATGGGTAGTCGAATCCTTAAGTCTTTTGCGAAAAAAAAGGAATATCAATGGCATATCTACTGTCCAGATCACAAATTTAGTTTTTGCAAAAAGATGGGATTAAAGAAGACAAGATTCACTATAACTGATGGTATTAATTATAATGAGATTGGCAATGATGTGGCTTGAATGAATCATTCCTGTTGCAGGTGATGATGGAATACATTTTGATCGCTGACGTGAACTCCTCCGATAGATGCGCCCACCAACTGGGAACGCTGTTGGCGAACTGCAAGGCCTTGGTCATGCTGAACATCATCCCCTACAATCCAACGGCCTCTTGGCAGAATACTTGGAGCCTGAGAGATTGTTTTTTTTTAAATGGGATTTCGAACATTTTTTGAAATAGAAATATGGAGAGTCATTTTTTTAGAAAAATATGGAATTTCGAGATTGTGATGTAACATGATTTAACTATAGCAAAGCATCATAGATGTCCCCTTTTTTTCATTGGGGATCAGCCGGTCAGAAAAACAGTTTCTTCCCAAAAGGCGGCCTGGTGAAAAGTGAATTTGTCCAGGATTGGAAAAGGGAACATGGGGATCATGCGAAAAGAACGGGGAAAAGAATCATTTATGTTGTATGCAACATATATTGATCAACCATAGATATGAAATGATATAAACAGGTGTGTCTGAAAATGGTAGATTTACCGATTTGGCCACAAGCTATGGCCGTTGGAAGTAACCATAAAATTTGAAGGCGAGAAACTGATGCCAAATGGGAATTTCATATTGATTTCAACTGTAGCAAAATTGAGAAAAATCAGTTGCTTCGTGGAATTTTGGAGGGCAGCAACTGAGGGAATATATAATGTGTATCTATATATATATACATATAATTAGATAAATAAATTCTATGTATATTTATATGTAGAAAATATAGAGATTTATCGTGATTCAGCTACAGCGGTGCTCAGCAGATCCACCCAGAAAGGGGCATGAATCCAAACTTCGGTCAGAGGGGAGCACATATTTTCCAATCGTGAGAACTGGAAGTTGTTTTGGCGCCAGATGATGCCCCAGCATAAACCCCTAGTTATACGAGTTATAAACCAAGTTACCGAACATTGTAACATAAATCCCCTGGTGAAATCCACATTCTTAGTGGTGAAACCCCCATTTTTCGCCGTGAAATCCCCATTTTTCCGCGACATCCACATCTTCTACGACCAGCTAGAAATACTGTGAGGCCAGTGGGGATGAGCACGGCTATCGGTCACCAACTGATGAAACTTGTGCTGCATGATGGTGTTGGTGAATTAGTGGATGGTATGGAGGCTGAGATGCGGAAAGAGCTTGTAGATTCATCCCATAAATTATCGGAATAGAAGCTTCAGTGTCATAAACCTTCAACGATGATATAATTGATATGGGAGTTTTTTCTTCTATATCCAACATTTCAGTGAATTTTGGAGTTGTTTTATTATTCCACATGTATGTGGGGTTCACTGGATATCAATTTGCAAGAAATGTGAGGGTTCCAGTCATTAAGTTTGTTTCATATTGAGAGTTCACCACTTCTTCTTGCGCATCTGGAATCCATAGGATACAGGATAGATTATAATTATTACTATACAATAATCATTATAGTATGCTATGATAATAGTAATAATCAATTACAACGATCATTATAGAACTACTGAAATATTAATAGTATTATATGATAGTAATATATATATATATATTTATATGAATCTCATAATAACAACAAACCAATAGAACTACTGAAGATGGCTTTAAAACTCCTTGGGGATTCAGCCTCCATCCACCTGTTGAGATTTGCACCCCAGTGAGATGATGGGTTTTCCCAACTGTTTGATAGGTGAATACGAAAAAAAAACTGGAAATCACATTTGTGTTATAGGTAAATCACATGTTAGTTGTTGTAGGTAAATCACATGTTTAATGGGTAAATCACATGTTTTTTGTATGTAAATCACATATTTAATTGGTAAAACACATGCTTTTAATAGGTAAATCACATGTTTTTATAAGCATATAAATCACATGTTTTTTGTAGGTAAATCACCTGTTCAATAGATAAATCACATGTGTCATAGGTAAACCATCTAACTAACTGAAATGGGCGATGGCTTTAATAGCAAACTGTTAGATTACTGTATCAGAGGGTATCGCATGACACCATCGGAGCACCACTGATGGATATGGGGAACCATCCGGTGATTCGCTTATTTCAGGTGTGTGAATAATGAATGATATTGCAACCATATATATATATATATATATAGATCAGTATAGCAAGCCTCAGATAGAACAGTTGTAAACCTGAAAACTAGGGGGAAATTCATCATATATGTATATATTGCATCATCTTTTTCTTGGTGTGCCTATGTGTGCATCTCTTTCTGTGGAACCCTCCAAAAAACTAAACCATCCATGGTTCTTAAGCCTGAAACCATCACTTCTAGCTGCATCGCAGGCATGAGAAGTGCTCAATATCCATAGTATAAGCCACATTTGTATATATATATATATACATATACAAGGCGAGGCCCCCTAGATAGCTAAGGGGGCTTCTAACTTGGTTAACTGTAGTTAATGGATTTATAAACCAAGTTATAACTGGGGGTCTCGCCTTGTACATACGTGGCTTCTAATACATGGGTTATATATATATAGTATGGGTAGAACATGGTAGAACCATACTATGGGTTAAAAATTGATGTTTTTTACCCGTCATTTCCCCGAAAAAAAGACATTCAGCTGGGGTGTACCACATTTTCAGACACATCCTTACGGCTTCAGCCTTTCTTTGTGTGATTTTCATATCCCTTCTGGCAATCACCATGGCGGAAAATTCAGATGATTTTCCTGTGGTTTTCCTATGTTTTTCCCATTCATAGCTCCATGATATGCCCTGCTTGGCCGAGGCCGACTGCCGCAGATTCAAGTTCATCGTCGCGGAGTACCGGCGCCAGTGGGATGCAGCCAATGCAGGTGGGGCTGCTGCTACTATCAGTACTTCTACTTGGATTTTTTTCTACTCTAATTGCAAAGACTAGTTATAATATATCATAATATTTTATAATATCTTATAATGATAATAGTCAATATTCATCTAATATACTACATACATATATATTTATATATACAGCATACACAAAAAATAATGTGTATTCTCTGTTTTGATTTGTATTGCTGTCGCCATGAAGAAAGATCTCAACAAAACCCAGGGAAGCAATCAGAAATCCGAAAGTGTCCGGCAGGCCAGTGGCGCGAAATCGATGTGTCAGCTGCATTTCAAGATTTCTCGGGGTTCCTTAAATAGGGGTACGCCCAAATCATCCAAAATTAGGTCATTTTAGTATTGAAACTTATGATAACCCAGATTTTAGGAAACCCCCATCTAGTTAAAGTGTTCACTGTTAAACAAAACAAAAACCATTGGGGTTTGGTTGAAGTTTTTGTAAAAAGACTTGACCAAGATGCATTGTTCAGAGGTTTAAAGGGTGACACCAAAAAGCGACCTCACAACGAGCTCACGATAGATTTCCATAGATTATCGCTAACAGTGAATCATTCCAAAGAAGCTTCATTTCCCAGGATTTGAGAGAAATACTATGGGGGTGTCAATAGTCTATTATAGGGCTACCCCAACAATGGATGGTTTATTTCATGGAAAAAAAACAGCAAAAAATGGATGATTGAAGGGTACCCCTATTTCTGGAAACCTACGAATCTCTTGTTTTATCAAAGCCACCACCGAACAGCGCACGATGCCAGGTGCGGACGGTCAGGTGCGATGGCAGAAGTTGGATGAAATGTGTTGTCTATACAACCATACTGATGCATGTTTATTTGTTTATAAATATATATATATATAAATAAATGTACAAATATACCATATATATATATCGATAGATATATAGATTCAGATGGAGATATAGATATATGTCTATTTTGTTGTAATTCATAAGTTGACGTTGATCGTTTTTAACCTCTACCCCAAACAACTTGAACCATTCGTGCCTCAAAGTGACCATGATTCAAGGTAAATCCTCCAAAACGGACCTAAAATCTTCCTCAGGGTAGATCCCATCATTTTCAGACCCTGAAACCCGCAAGGTACCCCCGTGATCTCCCATCCAATCCCCATCTCTGAAATCCCCCGTTTCCAGATCCAAAAATCGCTGAACTCTCCGGGGTTAACTATGTCAAATCACCCATTGTTTGCAGGCTTGCTCCAAATCATTGCTAAATGACAGCCACAAGGTGGGGTAAACTGGGTAAACAGCTGATTTTGCCATATTTTGCCATATTTTGGTGCCCCAAAGGTACCTGGGGAGCTTGGGGAAACTGGGCAACCCATGTTTTCTGGGAGATCTCCCCCTGCTGCGCTTCCAGGCCGGTGCGCCCTTGCTGTGTACCGTGCGCTGGAGCACCGTGCCCGGGCAGGTGCGGAACGGTGGGCAAATGGCTGGGAGCCTTTGGCACTGGCGAAAAAACCATAATGAAGTAGTACTTTAAGCAGTTTTTTGGTGGTATTTGGAGGATCTAGGTAGATATAAGATGATGAGAAACTGGAAAGAGTTAAAATATGTCGGACATTGACTAAGAACACATAGCTGATTAGGATTTAGTTTCTTTTGCTCACATGTTTTGTGAATCGGGATCATCTTAGTTGTATGCTAAGTACTTGTAGAGACAAACCAATATCACCTTCGTGAATTGGGGGATTTTGAAGCAAGCAAGAGATACATTACTAGGATTTGGTGAAAAAGAAATCAGGAGAATCAAGTGGAGTTGGGATGAAATATCTAGGGGCTCTGACTAGGGAAAATATAGAAGGATTCATGGCTTACCGGAAAATGTATTCGAAGTGTGCCGACTGACCAGAAAATGACGTTGTTTTTAACAGTTTGATGAAAAGTGCAGTAGAATTAAATAGAATTAAGGGATTTGTCCGGAAAATGTGTGGGACTTCATTTTTTAGAGTTAAGTAAACATTCCGTGGGAAATTTGGAAGTTCTTGCCAATGTTTTTCCTGCACCACAGGAGCTGATTGATGGTGCTTGCATAGCCAAACTTTCCAATATACAAGGTGAGGCCCCCCAGTTATAAGTTGCTTTGTAAACCCTATCAACTAGTTCGTTACATCATTACATCCGTTCTGAAAGCAACCTAGCTATCTAGGGGGCATCACCTTCTCGGGTGGTGAAATCAACATGTTCTTCGACCTTGGACCGGACCTGGTTTCCATCCCCGCGGCAGGCACAAGCTGCAGCCTGTGGACAACTGGCTTTGCAGACTCCCGCCTTGAAGGCGTCAAGGAGATGGGTTACCCTCTGGTAATGGCTGACAGTTTGCTATTGAAAATGGCCATAGAAATAGTGGATTTACCCATTGAAAATGGTTATTTTCCATAGTTATGTAAACGTTTACCAGAGGGTATCTTTCTATTTAGCTCTTTATATCTATGTTTGTTTATGTTAATGTTTGAACATTGTGACGTTCCAAAGCAGCGGTGGATTACCAGACTGAACACATGCAGATTTGGGATGTGTTTGACCCCGTTGACTCGTACACGTATATACATGTATAAATAGTATACATCTACATTCACATACCTCATATCAACTCCCACAGAGATAGAAATGACAACTCCAACTAAAATAGTGATTTTGTTTGAATCTTTTTGGGGGTTACTATGTATATGTAAACAAACACCAACCAGCTGGTAAATCGTTACTTCTTTCCTTGACAGAACCATGGAATGGAAGTCCCAATTCTTGAAATAAACTCAATCTTTAGGTTTCATGTGCTGTGTTCCCGGGTAAAACCATGGTGTTTAAAGTTTGCTTTGTTAAGTCATAGAGTCGTACAAATCAACTTCTTTGGGACCGTGAGACCTTAAATCATCAGCAAAAACAATATATTGGTGGGTCTTGGCTTGCAATTTGGAAATGGGGATGAACATTTAAAAATTCACCTCTTTTTCCAGCAACAAAAATTCCGTGGGGTTTTTCACATGGATTCACCACTCAAACAATGGGGGGGCTGTCGCCACAAATTACTTTACTTCGTGTGATCCCCACCATGACATTTATACATTTTGTTACTGGCAAATCTTCTGGCATTCTATCTGACATATTTTCTGGCATTCGATCTGGCATTCTATCTGGCATATCTTCTGGCATTCTACCTGGCATATCTGCTGGCAGATGTTCTGGCATATCTTCTGGCAGATGTTCTGGCATAATTCGTTTTGGCGTGGATACTCCGCGGGTTGAACAGGTCCGGCAGGGAACACTGGGCGTGGATGGTCGTGTGAGGTCCGGCAGGGAACACTTGGCGTGGATACTCGCGGTTGAGGTCCGGCAGGGAACACTGGGCGTGGATGGTCGTGGTTGAGGGTCCGACAGAACACCTGTGGATCGCGAGTCGCAAGTTTTGAAGCAAGGAGGACGAAGGAGGACAACGAGAGGAGGAGGAGAGGAGAGGAGGAGGAGGACCAGGCAACTGACATAAAATCTAACACCCCTCACCTGGCAGGTGGGGAAAAACGGGATTTCATCAGACGATTTCACCAGAAAAATCCATGGTTTTTGTTCGTTGGAGGCTGCTGACATCGAGGACGTCCCTGGTGTGTCCAGGTGCGGGCAGGGAGCGGTTGTTTTTGTAAGGGGATATTTATGTGGATATTTCCATGGGATCTGGGTCAACCTTAGTTAGATACTGCAGTACCGTACTTTAATTTTCATCGATTTTTAATCTTTTGTTATCAATGGTAACATTTATTCATTCACCATCTAATAATCAGATATAATTAAATGTGTTGACAGGTATCTAAGGTTCACCATGAGATATACAACCAACAATCATGGGATCTGGACAAATTTGATGACTTCAAGTCGCGACGTCGAAATGATGGGAAATGGATTGGGGCAACTATCCAACTATCCCCATAGCTGGCCTTGAGGCTAGTGAACCAATGAGCATGGGTTAAGTCAACAGGCACTGGACTGCCTGGACTGTTTTGTTGGTTTTGTTCCGGTTCAGTGCGCGATTTGATCTATGGTATATAAGCTAAAAGAATATAAAAGTGATGGGGGTTATATTAAAAAATCATCCCCAAGGGGTACCACCTTGAATGGAATACAAAACATGCCCAGCTAGGCCAGATAGACCAGCAGGTATCAACAAGCCCTGGAAAGGATAGGCGAAATGCTGGGACTTGTGGTGAGCATGATTGTCACAAAAGATACATGTCATTTCAAGTCACCACTTACTTTTTCTCTGCATTGAAAAAACATGTGGGGTTTCAAGACACTACCCTCTGGTAAACTAAGATAGCTATGGGGAAATCACCCCTTTTAATAGGTAAATCAACTATAAATGGGCCATGTTCAATATCTATGTCAGCCATTACCAAAGGGTACCTGATACATATGGGGACAATGTGATTCTTCTCATGTGCTTCATCCACGACCAACAGGACCTTGCGGCTACCAACGTGGTCATCGCAGAACACGCAGCCAGTACAGATGTTTTTGATGCTGGGCACAGCAGTTGGGTCGATTTTGAAAGAGGATCCTTGGGGAAATCTATGAAGATCTTGCATGGATTTTGGGTCGCCTGGTACTGGCAGAGAAAGACAAGTGGGGAGATAGATGAATAGAAAAGCAGATAGATAGGTAGTTGGTGGTTTGGAACAGTTTTTATTTTTCCATATATTGGGAATGTCATCATCCCAACTGACGAGCTCATATTTTTCAGAGGGGTAGGTATACCACCAACCAGTAGTTGGAAGGGTAAAGTAGCAAGCCCCAATGACTGTGATGGATGCGTCAATCTGGCAACGTACGCGGGTCTATACAACCCTGTACTGCACAGCAGACATCTGTACAGAGGTTCACTCGATCAGACTATTCTCTCTCTCAAAACATATATAATTAGTACATATATATATATATACACATACAATGTTTATATATGTATATGTATTGTACATGACATACCAGAGCACATATATATATATGTAATGATGATAATAATATATAGTAATATTGTTAATAATAATTACAATAACAACAACAACAACAACAACAACAATAAAAACATGCAAATAAATAGATGTAGATTAAGAAATACAAATAAACAAAGATAAATACATATGTATAAATTATATATACACATACTTATGTGATTGAGCAGGCGGATATCGCCTTGCTGAGGATGGGCAACGTTCTATCGCCCTGGTGGTTTTTCATCACCTCGCTGCTCCTGGGCGCAGGACGCTGCTCCACGGCTGTCACGGCGAGGGGATTGATGTTGGGATTCAACTGCCATAGTCACCCATGCCATAGGAATATCATGGAAAATCATTGGAAAATCCATGGGTAAATTTACCGCATTGGAAATGACGCATTGGAAATGACGCATTTTCTATAGCTATCTTGAATTGTGCCATATAGTGAAGCAAATATTGGGAAGAGAATAGAATGGAATAGTATAATGGGGCTGTATAAGTCATTTAATGGGATATGTGATATATATATATATAATGGTATATAAAGAGGATTCAACGGGATATACCAATAGACCATGAACTAGCTATCCACTGGTCATGTTACCGTCATCCCCCTATTTAGGGGTATACCCAAATTCATATCTAGCCCTTTTTGGGGAATAGTTTACTAGGTTTACTGAAGCTATGGCGCACCATCACGAATGGGGTGATGATCTCTTCGAGGGTCGACTGGAAGAACAAACAGATGAAGTATGTGGGCAGCCCCAAAGTCTGGAAAGGATAACCAGTGATTGAAACGAGTGTGATGACATGGCAATTACCATCTTTTGATAGCAGAAGAGATGTTGTTTTCTTAATTTTTAGATTAAATAACCATTGATAACCATCAATCAATTGACTATTGAATTCCATTATGAGTGCAATCCAATTTAAACGTTGTCCATGTGAATGTAGATATTTCCTACTCACCATGTGACAAGTGGATGGGGTCTCCAGCTGGAGACCTCCTCCCAAAAGGAAGTTGGTTGAAATTGCCAAGCCTTTAGATCCAACTTGGGTGTTGGAAATTGGAACCAATATGAACCCAATGCTTTTTGGTGTAACGATTTTAAGACAAGCCGAGTCAAACCATGTTGAATCTCCATTTGCTTTGCTTAATATTTTTTGAGAGACACCAAGATGCACCAAGATTCTTCATATACTCAGATTTCTCAAGATTCTCCCATTCGAGTATATTTGTTGCCAGTCAAATCCGGAAGGTAATTGCTTTCCTGTACAGTCTTGCGCTGGCTGACAGGAATCGGAACTATGTATTCTGGGAAATTCTCGCTACGAAGAATTATATCAAACTGAACAAAAATCAAGAAGGACTGCACTGAAGGGTGTACACGTACATACATCAAAAATAAAATATTTATCATACCATGCATATACATATCAAAGTAAGAGGGCAAATTAAACACATCGTAGGATGAAAGACCAAAAATACAAAGTCATGATTGTTTGGTGAAATACATGACGTTATATAGATAATCATGTGTCAGCATGTGTTATAGAAGAATGCAAACCATGAAAAAGATACAATTTAATTTATCAAAATATAAATTTCTCCAAACATATTTTGACTACATCCGAAAACAATGACGATAATTAATACTATACATTTTTTAAATATTATAAGGATGTGTATTTATATATATATATGTATACATATTAATATATATACATATATATATACATAATTACATTTTAGCTGAACGTATATGATGACTTTTCAGATACATATATTCATATTTGGCGATATCTAAAAGTATATGTATCTAGACACATGCATTCAATGATACTGTATGATATATATATATATATAGTATTAATCAAGACGCATTTATGTATATATATATATATATTAGTGTATATACTATATAGTCAATATAATATATAATAATGTGTCTATATGCTTAAAAAAGATAAGATAAGAACATTGAGAAGAACTATAACTTTAAGTTGCGTATATCTAAGGTAGCACTTAGTCTGGCCCAGCTCCCGAGGGGAACACCAAGTTTCCTTCACCTGCAAAAATGGAGTGGTAACCAGCCATAGAGTTGATAGGGTTGGTTTGTTTTTTTTGAAGGGATGAAACACTACGAAACCATGATTTCACCTCCAAATTTCGCTTTTCAGTGTACATTTGCCATCCATCCAATCCGGGGAAGGTTCTAGACAAGAAAAGTTCGCATTTGATGAGCAACAGCGTGGAATCAACATGGTTTAACCAACAAGAATGCAGCTTCAACCAAGAAAGATGGATCAGCCAGCAAAAAAAGTTCTGAGCCGACAATATGCTGTTGAGCAAACAATTTCAATTTACACGCGCACTGGAGCCATCACTGCGTTGGGTCCCTGAGAATCGACGAGTTGGAGAAGTCATGAAGCCTACGTGGGTGTTGGGTCCCTGTGTCGATGCTGGTTTCACCCGAAACCTTGTCGTTCAAATTTGGCAGACCAGCCATTTCATGGTTTTGTCTGGAAGTAGGGCCCAACAATTTGACCTATCAAATTTAAAACATGGTTACTTCCATAGCAAAGTGTTAGTTTACCAGAGGGTATCCCCATTTTATTCCAATTAAAAATATCAGATATCATTAAATCATCATTTTGCCAACATAACAAAACATGCTCTGTTGGTGAACGAACTGTGTGAATTCTCGATTTTCGCCAGCTTCCGGCTCCAGCTGAAAAACCAAACCGCAACGTCCCAGTGCAATGGCTGAGCCTGCTGCCAAGAAGGCACGACTTTGCTGTTGATGTAGTAATACCACAGTAATACTACAGTAATTCTACAGTTTTGCCATATAATACGATATGATACCATATAGTACCATATTTTGACTATGCATTACACTATACTTGGTATATTTAGGCATTATACAATTATACACCATGTATGATCGAACATTAATATCATACTATACTTCAAGACCTATACTGTAGTTTGACTATATCCCAGCTATTCTGATCTTCATCAAGGCACCAGGGTAGCTTTGGACAGATGCGGGACATGTTTCGTAAGATCATGTTGCGTATTACCCATCCATTTTTTCGGGGATATGTTTGGATATTGTTTGGGTATCATATTGTTTAATCATATCACCAAATATAACCTGAAAAAAACACTTGAAACACGTGAATCATTGGCAATGCTGCCCACCCTTCCAATCTTCCCCCTAAAAAAAGGCGCCATGGTTCACACGATGCGCCGTGTTCACGGTGATCCCAAGACGGTGCTGCCAGTGACATTGGCGTATTGTCCCCAGTAGATCACCATTGAAAGACCCCCATTGGATGGTCCGCAGGATGCGGAACTTCCCTACTGAACTTACCGTGGTTTCAAAGGCTTCAAAGGGGGTATGGTTAATATTAGGGGGTAGGGTTTAAAAGTTGTTCACACATACACAGATTCCCAAACTTGTTGCTTAACCCATTATTGTTGCTTATAACCAGCGCTAGAATAACCATTGTTACACCACGACATTCACCCAGTTTTCATCCGGCCGCCATGATTCCAGGCGCGAACTGCTGCCCGCACCTTTCTCTTCTCCTCGGAGTCTGTGAATGAGGGCCACCCGGACAAGCTCTGCGACCAGGCCTACTTGTGGGCAGCGGTGGCGGGGGAGGTGGGATGTATAATTTTTTATAATAGATATGATGGAGATATGATGGGATATATCATGGAATATATCATGGGATATACAACCAACAATTAGTATGAATTGTAATCTGGACGATTTTGATCATAACCTCACGGCGTGACATCACTGGAATGATGGTGAATGTATAGGGAAATCATCCCCAAATGGCCGCAAGATTCAGATTCATGAAATATTGCAATTTCCCCAGATATTTTTTCGGGAATATTTAGAATTTAGACTGAAAAGAATAAACATATTGAAATCCTTTGAAATCCTAGGTGCCTAGGTTTTGGGTCGAACATGGAACCATGGAACCAGATAGGTGTATGATAGTCAACCAACAGGATGACAAGAAGCTTCCCGACTCAGAGGTTGACGCTTCTTTGTGGGCAAGTTCACCCACACATCAGAAAACTATGCATTTATCCCTTAAAGTCAACATACATGTTGTTTAAATCCTCAATTTTCAGCGAAATCCATAGATATCATATATGTTTGATGTATACATATACATATATATATATAAAGAGTATACCTCTATCCATTCACTATGGCCCCATATCCCCAGTCCAGGTCTCTGATGCTGTCTTGGATGCCTGCCTCAAGGCTGGCTGCAGATTTTGTCACAGATTTCTTCCCCTTTGGTGTGTCTGAAAACGGGGAACACTTCCCTTTAATGGCTACTAGTATCTGAATGCTGCGACATTGATGATTGACCATGATTAAGCATGATTAACCATGAAATTTGGGAGTACCGCATCTTCAGACAAATCCACATGACGTATTCACCACGGATGGATGGACCGATGGATTGATGCACCCAGAAAGTCATAACAAAGTATCACGATAGACAACTGTTCACATGTGTGTACGCAAAGTCAACATGACATGACATGACATGACATGACATGGCATGACATGACATGACATGACATATATCTTGAATGTTCGAAGTGTGTATATTAAATATATATATAGCATTATATAACTATATATACATATGTATATATATATATATATACATATGATATACGTATATATCACCCCAGACTAACACCTTCATGTCAACTGTGAAAGCTACATCCCTACATCCAGGGCCTGTGCCGAGCTTCGGCTCCTTCAGGTTGATCCCAAGTCCAAGGTGGCTTGCGAGACTGTGACGAAGGACTGTCTGAAAGCTGTCGTTTGAATCCCTAGAGAAACTAGACGAGGCTTCAAAGGACCAACTATGGCTACATGTTTGTTGTATTTACCTCGACCCCTCCGTTACCCATGATTTCATGCAAAGCGTGTTCCATATTTCTGGTATGTTTTTGGGGCCTGACGGGTCAAACGGTCGTAGCTTCCAAAAAGGACGTCCATGGGATCCATCCAGCCAGGACAACATGGTCATGGTGGCGGGTGAAATCACCACCCAGGCCAAACTGGACTATGAGAAGGTGCGAGGTTCAGGAGGATCTGCTTGGATGTTGGGATATATATATATACTACTTGGGGATAACTAGATATATATCTTATATCTAAACTATGTAGATTATTCTAGATATTATCTTGGTATATCTATATAAACTATGTAGATTATTATAGATATAATGTATATATCATGATAGATCTAAACTATGTAGATAATTATAGATGTATCATGATATATCTATATAAACTATGTACAGATTTAGTAGTATAAATATATCATAATATATAGATATATAAATTTAGTCACGTCTATGTTGATTTTGGGAGGGGGTTGCGAGGTGACGCCACGCTGCATCTCAGGTGGTTCGTGGTGTGGTGGCGCAGATCGGTTTCGACAGCCTTTCGGTTTCAGCACTGGGGCTGAGGAATGTTTATAGGGTGGGGATATTCCATATATAACTGGGGGATATGATGGGATACAAGTGGTTGATACTTGGATTTTGCATCCCACTTAGTGGTTTATAATCCATATATTTTATAAGTGGGGATATTCCATATATAACTGGGGGTACAACCCATTTACTAAGTGGGGATATGATGGGATATGCACCCCTAAGAAGCCACAAGTCCCTGCCCTTTTTTGGGCCTCAATTGGGTTTGAGGGTGGCGACCTCAGCGCCAAATTCGTGTCCCTCTGACTCAATATATATGTGGTATTTTCAACCATTTTCAACCATTTTTCAACCATAAACATCCATACATTTTCGATGATAAAAGTGACCATGATTCATGGAGCCAGCCTGGGGCCATCTATGAGGGACCTCAAAAAACGACCAAGAGTTGGATGATATACCTAGGTAGGACCTAGGTTTGTGGGGAATGGGTCATCAATCTTTTTGTATAGTCATTATGATTTATGTGCTATCCCAGATGGTGGGATGACTATGACCCATAAAAAATACTTATTTATATAAAGATATCCATGTTATATTGTTTTGACCATGGCACTCACATGGATTTTGTGCTTAAGAAAACTGGAGGGATAGCCATGGATCGCACCCAAGATCGACTTCTGGGGGCCTCCAAGGCTTTGTTGATGACCTGTCCTCAGTGGACAGCAAGGGCCTTTCCGACAAGACCTGTGACGTCTTGGTCCGTCGACGCCTCAATGATTGGGGAATGGTGGGCGTGTTGCGAATATCTTCCGGGACTTTCAGACTTTCAGAAGAGTGACATTGGGGGTTCTCTTATCTTGGGGGATCCCCAAAACCATAGGTTTCAAGACTAAAACAGTCTAATTTTGGATGGTTGGAGGCTACCCCCCATTTAGGAAACCTCCACATGGACATCAGAGAGTCGCACACCAGCTTCCCCTTCAATGACCCAAGGTATCAACAAGCAGAGCCCTGACATCGCGGGCGGCGTGCACGTGGGCAAGGCCTGCCTTGGGGGGCCTTCTCTCTTGGATTTGTTTGGGGAAAAACTCCAAATCCACTGGTGAATCATCATTGTGCCTTTTAAATTGCCAGTTTTGGATATCCCAAGTTTTCACACAAACCCAAATGTAGCTTCCTTGTGGATAATGGGTCAAACGTTGTCGAACTTGCTGCAACTTAGACGAAATAAGAGGCATCTAAAAGTAGGTGAGAAGGCACCCGTTTTCCATGGGAAAACCCTGGCAGAATTTCATGGATTGCCACTCTCTGCCCACTAGCTGCGGATTGCATTGGGCCTGGTCTCAAGTCTCACACAGTCACCATGGACCAATGACTGTTTTATGTTGTTTGGGTAGTTAATTGCCGGACGGAGAGTAGAAATCCATTGAAATCCTGACATTTCCTGACACGGCCTGCCAGGATGAGATGGATGTGGGTGCTGGAGACCAGGGCATCATGTGCCTCGGAACTGATCAAGGGAAGCTCTGGTTTTTCTCTTCGAAACTCTGGAAGTGTTCGCCATCTTCAGGAATTCATGATGTTTTCCTGCTATCCCAACATTGGCGATGCAATGAGGTTCGGCTATGCCAGCGATGAGACCTCTGATCCTTGGTGGTGCAAACTGGAAGATCTGCGTTTTTTTGCCTCAACTCTAAGCTTGCTTAAAAGGATCCATGAAATAGGATGAACTGGCTCCATGCCAGGAAAAAACATGAAAGGTGATCAGGTGATCCGGTGTGTTTGGGGCGACCCCTCATGCTTGGGCATGTCCCCATTGCATCCTCGCCAAACACCATTCGCACCAAGGATTGCATGCCCCTGACTCATTCCATTGCCACCCGATTGGGCAAGAAGCTTCTGGGCAAAGGATAGAGAGATCAGGGCAATGTTTGGAGCATCAGGAAATAACATGAAATATCTAATCTACTAGGAATAGATCTGCATCAAATGTCATCAAACAATATCAAGCATAGATTGTGAGTGGTGCCACAGTGGTGCTACCAATTTCAGCGAATAGTTCATCTAGGATCAGGATCTTGGTCTCAAAATCCAATCCTCTCAACAGACCTTTGGAGCACCGCACGCATGTGGCAAACCGAGGCTCACCGATGTCCGCAAGAGCGGCGAGTTGTGGTGGCTGCGCCCGGATGGCAAGACGCAGGTCACCATCGAGCACCTTTCTTGAGAGGTTGCCATGTGTGGGTCAGGCTCAGATATTAGAATGATCTAGGATCAGTTAGAACTTTAGGACTTTAAAATAAATGTACTGTACCATTGACTGAAATTGCCATTGATAGGATGTAGGAATGTAGGAATCTCTTGGGTCATCTTGGTGCGCAGCATAGATCCAAAACGAATCTGAGATCCTACGCCAAGGTACGTGGGCAAGGAGGATGGCTCCGTGGAACCCCAGAAGATCCACACGGTGGTCATCTCCACGCAGCATGCAGAGCCTTTGAAGGCGGTTCGAAGCAAGGTGCCGATTTAGTAGGGATGACGTCGTGGTGACCGTGTTTGTGGTGGTGGGGGTGGTTGTGGTGGTTGTGGTGGTGGTGGTGGTGGTGGTGGGGGTTGGGGTGGGGGTGTTTGAGGTGGTTGTGGTAATTGTGATAGCGGTATAGTTCACGATTTGTTGTCGCAGCCAGACAAGGACTTGACTGTTTGTTGGTGGCAGGAGTGCGCTGGCTACAAGGGCCCAGAGATGACTGCTCCTAGCATGGCTGACATGAACAAGGACCCCAGCCTTCCATCCTGGATTTTGACAGTCCATGGCTGACAGTGCAAGGTATATGACAGTCCAAAACCGCGTTTTGAAGTCAGGACCCACTGGATTAGCATTTTTTTCTCAACTGCTGATGCTCTGAAGCAGCCACATGAGATGCGAGCACGTTGAGGCTGCTGGAGACCAAATCATAGCTTAATGGCCCAAAATTAAAGTGAAAACTTGCAAGAAAAAGTGCCAGAATTGTTTCAGCAGGGATCCGTGATCATCTACCATCGACGCGGCAAGGAGATCGAGGAGAAGGTGATCAAACGCACCTTGGAGGACTTGACGTGAGTCAGTACTCACCATTGCTCGCCTGAGTGATATGAACTTCACAGCACCTCACATGTTTTCCAAGTTTGAGACTCATCAAGCTGACATATTAGTTCAAACATTTCTGCCAACATCAAGGCACTGCAGTCTCAAGATGCTTAAAGTGGCAGTTCAGACTTGGTACCTTGCACGGTTCAGGAAGGAGTAACCCAAGGACAGCATTACTGGAGGGATACCGGAGGGATATTGCAGGTTGCAATCTGAGCTTTCCAGATATGTTGTGCAGGAGATCAAGCTTAAGAGCGGCAAACCTGCTCCTTGGCAAACGGCAGCTGGCGTCGATGATGTTGTGAGTTAGGACGGAACACTTCTCAGTTTATCTCCATCTACCATAGTATACCCAGCACAGACAAGGAGCCCAATATGAAGAATAGTGGCGCTCAAACTGATGAACACCGGATGAGAGGTGGCAGTTGCATTGCCGAATTAGGCCTTACGGATTGATGTATTATATGCTTTTTCGATATATTTAGCATATTGATGCTTCAGAAACCGCGGGTTTAACGCTTTACACTTAGCCTCTGGGATGAGGCCTTGACGCTGTATGGCAGCCACACGTACCTTGGCAAGATGGTCATGGGGCACAGCTGCATGAAGTATTTAATTATGTACCAGTAGTACCGCACAAGGCGGTGGCGGAAGTTTCAAAAATAGGAAACCTATAGGAGAGGTGGGTTGTTGTGAATCACGGATGGCAGAGCGAATCCACTGATGGACCGAAAGGTGGTTGAAATGTCGAGCTATTTATCTATCCATCCATTTGTCTGTCTATCTGCTTATCTGTCTATTTATCTCTCTCTCTATCCATCTATCTACGCTTCTAAATGTCTGTTTGCTTATCTATCTGTCTATCTACCTATCCATCTATCTGTCTTTCCATCTATTTGCTTAGCTCTCTCTCTCTCTCTCTCTGTCTATGCAATCGTCTATCGATCAAACTGCCTGTCTATGCGTCCATCTGTCTATCTATCTTTCTATTTTTCCCTTTCCAGATCATCCATTTCCTTGTATATCTGTGTGTCTTTCCACTTGTTTGTCGGTCTATCCATCTTTCTAGTTGTCTACCTGCTCATCCAGCTATCCATTGTATCCATTTAAGTACCGAAGCATTTCACCCATCCATCTATCTGGTTCTTCATCTTTCCGCCTAGACAGTTCGACAGCAAGCAGTTAACATTTGCAGAGAAGCGAAACAGTGCGAATAGAACCGGTTTTTAGTTGTGGTGTAACTTCTACAACTTAATCATGAAGGACATCGCTCTACCACAATCCCTTTCTAATGTAGTGTCGTTGTAATTGTAGTTGTAGCTGTGGTAGTAGTTGTTGTAGTTGTAGTGTAATTAGTGTAGCGTAGTGTAATTAGATGTAATTAGATGTAATTAGTGTAGTGTAATTAGTGTTGTGTAATGTGACATAGTATATTTGCATTTGTAGTTGTAATAGTAGTGTAGTGTAGAGTGGTAGTTGTAGTTGTAGTTGTCTATATCTATCATGTGTCTATCTGCAAGCTTGAAAACAAAGCTATTCTGCGAGACTTTCCTCAACTTTTGAACTAGATAACGTCAAAAACGAAGCTATTTCTGCGAGACTTCCTCAATTTTTGAAGTTGGCAACATCAAAAACGAAGCAATTCTGCGAGACTTCCTTCAATAATGGAAAATTGAGTGCAGAGCTGACGGCCTCCTGCCAATGCGTTTTGCGATTTTTCCAGCCCATGTCTCTAAAGTACTGCGCCTGCCACGAAAAAGTGATGCCAGGTTGTACGAAGTGCTGCACCTGTCACGCAAAATCATATCAGCAAAACTGAAAATCTGAGGCTCCAAAATGCAACCCCTCTCAGGAAATCAGCGCCCGGACCTCCTAACAGCTCTGATGAACATGTCTCTTGTATTGTGCCTGCCACGGAAAAATTGTATCTTTGCAGATCCTCTTCAAGTGTCCCACGCCTGCCAACGCTTTTGAAAATGCTACAAACCCTCACATTTTAACTCACTTTTGGCAAGGTGCACAATCCCTTGCGCCTGCCACGCAAAACGACACTGCAACGTCCAAGAGTGGCGCGAGCATGTGGTGTTTTGTACATTTTGAAATGTGCTTCGCGCCACAACGGCGTGCACTTTTTGGACATCTCAACTTCCAAAAGTTGTCCGAGAATGGTGTGTTTTGTACATTTTCACTTCGAAATGTGCTTCGCGCCACAACGGCGTGCACTTTTTCGACATCTCAACTTCCAAAAATGGTCCGAGAATGGTGTGCTTTGTACATTTTGACTTCCAAATGTGATCCGCGCCACAATGGCGTGCACTTTTTCGACATCACAACTTCCAAAAGTGCTCCGAATGTGAGGTGTTTTCAGCTTTTTCACTTGCAAATGTGATTCGCGCCACAACGGCGTGCAATTTTTTCATCTCTCATCTGGCTAGATGGCTCCGCACCCGCCGCTTTAGCGAGCCTACCTTTCGACCCTCCAGAGCCACACATCATTGGCAAAACACAGTGGATCGCAACTTCTCTACCTTTTCCCGCACCTGCATCTTCTTTGTTCTGACTCTTTCTCTTCCCTGATCTTCTCTCTTCTGCCCTTCTCTTCTCTTACTCTTCCCACCTATGCTTTTTCATCTGTCCATATTGTCGGAAGTTTGACTTCTAAACTTCCTTCGGTTAGACCCTCCAAGTGTTTTGAAAAATGATGAAAAAAGGGGAGAGAATACACCGTATAATACACCCAGTATTCTGGGAGGGTCTAAGTAGGCGTATTCCAGTATTGAAAGTAGACTGCCTTGGAAGTGTGTGGCGTCTCCAAATCTTTATCCAAGTGTTTCGCTATAGATGAGCATCAAGGAGTGGAACTCTTGAGTTTCCCATATCTCCAAGAGCCAAGTAGATCCCACCATGACTTTCTGGTGCTCGGTAGGGAATGAGGGGATGACCCACAATGAACAATCATCAATCATCCCATTCCCCCATTCCCTGCTAACCAGCAAGACGAGCACCGTTTTTTACAGTGCAAAGACTGGCTTCATGGAGGGAGTATCCGTCGGGTCGCTGAGGCATTTGCACATCAACCCCTCAGGCAAGTTCATCATCGGTGGCCCTCAGGGTGACGCTGGCCTCACAGGCCGCAAGCGCCTTGGCTCCGGAGAGAGCGCGGGTGCTGGTCATTTTTTCTCGTGATTGTGGCACGAATCTGTTTTTTTTTTGGGTGGTTATCCAATTGTCAGTCACCATACCGATATACAGTATTATTAAGGGCTGCCGCCCCTGCCGCCGACCCCGGAAGAATGGTCATGTGGTTATATGACAGTTATATCATATATCAGATGATGGTCTGAGTTTTTTTTGACAATTGGTTGATAGTTTCCAGCCTTTAGCTACTTTAGGGACTCAACTAGCCAGCATCATGTTTTGTCGATCTTGGAGTAGTTTAGATAAAGAGTAAATGTTAACAGACACCCTTTTCGAAACACATCCGGAACAGCAAAACACCACCTAATTTCGTGTCCAAAACGTAGCAAAGTAACCCCAAAAAAGGACCTAATGTCACTTCTGAAACCATACTGTAAAATTGAAACTTTGCCGCTGCCTGCCGCTGCCTGCCGCTCCCTGCTGCTGCCTCCTGCTGGTGCTGCTGCTGGTGGCTGCTGCTGCTGCTGCTGCTGCTGCTGCTGGTGCTGCTGTGGTGCTGCTGCAATCAAACAGCCTCCAAAGCAAGAAACAAACAGCCAGACACCCTTTTCGAAACACATCCGAAACAGCAAAACACCACCTAATTTCGTACCCAAAACGTAGCAAAGGAACCCCAAAAAAGGGCCTAACGTCACTTCTGAAACCCTACTATAAATAAAATTGCAACTGCCTGCCGCTGCCTGCCGCTGCCTGCTGCTGCCTGCTGCTGCCTGCTGTGCCTGCTGCTGCCTGCTGCTGCCTGCTGCTACCTGCTGCTGCCTGCTGCTGCCTGCCTGCTGCTCCTTGCTGCTGCCTGCTGCTGGTGCTGCTGCTGGTGGCTGCTGCTGCTGCTGTGGTGCTGCTGCAATCAAACAGCCTCCAAAGCAAGAAACAAACAGCCAGACACCCTTTTCGAAACACATCCGAAACAGCAAAACACCACCAAATTTCATGCCCAAAACGTAGCAAAGGAACCCCAAAAAAGGGCCTAACGTCACTTCGGAAACCCTACTATAAAATTGCAACTTTGCCGCTGCCTGCCGCTGCCTGCTGCTGCTTGCTGCTGCCACAAACAGCCAGACACCCTTTTCGAAACACATCCGAAACAGCAAAACACCACCTAATTTCGTACCCAAAACGTAGCAAAGGAACCCCAAAAAAAGGCCTAACGTCACTTCTGCAACCCTGCTGCCTGCTGCTGCCTGCCTGCTGCTCCCTGCTGCTGCCTGCTGCTGGTGCTGCTGCTGGTGGCTGCTGCTGCTGCTGTGGTGCTGCTGCAATCAAACAGCCTCCAAAGCAAGAAACAAACAGCCAGACACCCTTTTCGAAACACATCCGAAACAGCAAAACACCACCTAATTTCGTGCCCAAAACGTAGCAAAGGAACCCCAAAAAAGGGCCTAACGTCACTTCTGAAACCCTACTATAAAATTGCAACTTTGCCGCTGCCTGCCGCTGCCTGCCGCTGCCTGCCTGCTGCTGCCTCTGCTGGTGTCTGCTGGTGTCTGCTGCTGCCTGCTGCTGCCCTGCTGCTGCCTGCTGCTGCCTGCTGCTGCAGCTGCCTGCTGCTGCCTGCTGCTGCCTGCCTGCTGCTCCTTGCTGCTGCCTGCTGCTGGTGCTGCTGCTGGTGCTGCTGCTGCTGCTGTGGTGCTGCTGCAATCAAACAGCCTCCAAAGCAAGAAACAAACAGCCAGACACCCTTTTCGAAACACATCCGAAACAGCAAAACACCACCTAATTTCGTGCCCAAAACGTAGCAAAGGAACCCCAAAAAAGGGCCTAACGTCACTTCTGAAACCCTACTATAAAATTGCAACTTTGCCGCTGCCTGCCGCTGCCTGCTGCTGCTGCCTGCTGCCACCGCAGCCAGCTGCTGCCTTGAAACACATGCTGCTGCCTGCCTGCTGCCTGCTGCCTGCTGCTGTTGCCTGCTGCTACTGCTGCTGCTGCTGCTGCTGCTGCTGCTGCTGCTGCTGCTCTTTGCTGCACATCCGAAACAGCAAAACACCACCTAATTTCGTACCCAAAACGTAGCAAAGGAACCCCAAAAAAGGGCCTAACGTCACTTCTGAAACCCTACTATAAATAAAATTGTAACTTTGCCGCTGTCTGCCGCTGCCTGCTGCTGCCTGCTGCTGCCTCTGCTGCTGCTGCCTGCTGCTGCCTGCTGCTACCTGCTGCTGCCTGCTGCTGCCTGCCTGCTGCTCCTTGCTGCTGCCTGCTGCTGGTGCTGCTGCTGGTGGCTGCTGCTGCTGCTGTGGTGCTGCTGCAATCAAACAGCCTCCAAAGCAAGAAACAAACAGCCAGACACCCTTTTCGAAACACATCCGAAACAGCAAAACACCACCTAATTTCGTGCCCAAAACGTAGCAAAGGAACCCCAAAAAAGGGCCTAACGTCACTTCTGAAACCCTACTATAAAATTGCAACTTTGCCGCTGCCTGCCGCTGCCTGCCGCTGCCTGCTGCTGCTTGCTGCTGCCTGCTGCTGCCTCTGCTGGTGTCTGCTGTGCCGCTGCCTGCTGCTGCCTCTGCTGGTGTCTGCTGCTGCCTGCTGCTGCCTGCTGCTGCCTGCAGCTGCCTGCGGCTGCCTGCGGCTGCCTGCGGCTGCCTGCCTGCTGCTCCCTGCTGCTGCCTGCTGCTGGTGCTGCTGCTGGTGGCTGCTGCTGCTGCTACTGTGGTGCTGCTGTGGTGCTGCTGCAATCAAACAGCCTCGAAAGCAAGAAACAAACAGCCAGACACCCTTTTCGAAACACATCCGAAACAGCAAAACACCACCTAATTTCGTACCCAAAACGTAGCAAAGGAACCCCAAAAAAGGGCCTAACGTCACTTCTGAAACCCTACTTAAAATTGCAACTTTGCCGCTGCCGGCCGCTGCCTGCCGCTGCCTGCTGCTGCCTGCTGCTGCCTCTGCTGGTGTCTGCTGCTGCCTGCTGCTGCCTGCTGCTGCCTGCTGCTACCTGCTGCTGCCTGCTGCTGCCTGCCTGCTGCTCCTTGCTGCACATCCGAACAGCAAAGCACCACCTAATTTCGTACCCAAAACGTAGCAAAGGAACCCCAAAAAAGGGCCTAACGTCACTTCTGAAACCCTACTATATAAATAAAATTGCAACTTTGCCGCTGCCTGCCGCTGCCTGCCGCTGCCTGCTGCTGCCTGCTGCTGCCTGCTGCTACCTGCTGCTGCCTGCTGCTGCCTGCCTGCTGCTCCCTGCTGCTGCCTGCTGCTGGTGCTGCTGCTGGTGGCTGCTGCTGCTGCTGTGGTGCTGCTGCTTTGCCGCTGCCTGCCGCTGCCTGCTGCTGCTTGCTGCTGCCTGCTGCTGCCTCTGCTGGTGTCTGCTGCTGCCTGCTGCTGCCTGCTGCTGCCTGCTGCTGCCATGCATTCCTACATGGCCGACCCACAAGAGTTCCGGGAAGTTGGTGCACAAAAACTCAGCAGCATGCTATCGCTTCTGCTGCTGCTGCTGCCGCTGCTGCTGCCGCTGCTGCTGCCGCTGCTCTTGCTGCTAGTGCGGCTAAACTTGCTTGTCTTTGCTTGTCTTATTCCCTGGCGCGCTCCCCCTTGCGTCTGCCGAGGTCGGCGGATATATCCATTTATTATCCAAATTGTCAGTCCCAGGTCCCACCACCAGACCATACCAGACCACCTGTTTTTCAAACCTGTCGCCTCGCCAAATGCGCACATATCCACTTAGATTGTAATACATGTAGACAGCATGCAAACTTCTCCGTAAATAGGTCCTGTTTTTAGGTTGTATAGTTGAAGTTTAGTTGAAATTTGCTACTGTGAACATTGTACTTTGACCTTCAACCACCTGGTGATTCTGATAAATCATCAATCACCCAACTGTTTTTCAGGTCCAAGGAAAGTGTTGCCGGAAACCCTCATCTTTGGGTGCAAAACCATCATATTTGGGAACAAACCATGGTTTCCTTGTAGATTTTCCCTTAAACCATCTTAAACCAATCGATCCATTCATTGTTCCATTTGTTCATGGTTTACAGTTTGATGCCCAAAGCTCTTATGTTTGATGGTCAAAGAGACGCATGTAAAAAAATCAGGTCATAAACCAATGAAACCAGAAATTCTTTGGATCCCTCCAGTCGCCTGTGATTCACACGTTAGTTAGCAGCTACCTCAAGCTACTTGGTGCAGTTCCACGAATATGTGGTCATAGGACCATAGTCATAGGATGTCACAGGGAGTATATCCATGTTTATCCCAAAAGAAACTTGACTACACGTTGGATTATACCACCCCAACTGCTTCTTTATATCTACCATAAAATATGGTCATACCATGTTATACCCATGTTATAACCACTCCAACATGGCGGCGCCAAGGATCATCATCGACACCTACGGCGGCTGGGGAGCCCACGGTGGCGGCGCCTTCAGTGGCAAGGATCCCACCAAGGTGCCGACCGCCCCAAAGGGGGTTCGGCATGAAGAATTTCAATGGGTTGCTACGAATTGTGGTACTTGGAACATCTTGGAACTATAGTTATAGTTATAATTGTTTTCATGGCTTTATATTGGCTGTTTGCTTATGCGGGCCCCCCCAGTCGTAAGTTGCTTTATAAACCCCATGAATATTTTACTTCTAAGCACCATTTACCATCATAAACAATACTTATTGTAGTTTTAAAATGTGCTAAACCAACTTAGCTATCTAGGGGGCCCCACATTGTAGAGAGTTTCATCAACAAGAAAAATTGGCATGTTCACCTTGAAACATGGTGATTTAGCAACCAAACATGGTGGTACAATGGGGATATATATATATATAGATAATAAATAAATATATGTTAATGGTGATAGAACTAAATATTCATGGGATCATGAGTTTATAACTTTGGCAGTTAAACGTGGCTTGCTGGGAAATCCACTATAAATGTGCATTTTAATGGGAGAATCGAAATAAATGGGTGATTTTTTCCAGCAAGCAATGTTTGATTAGCAAGCAATGTGTAAACAACTCATACACACACACATATTCGGATAATATGAGGGTTTGCTGAGTCATTGGGGAACCCCAGACTACCTAAGTTGCTCATTTTTGTTGGGAAACCAGTGGTGAGAAGGGGTACCCAAAGCTTTAAGAGACCAAGGTACAGAGTAGCAACATGTAGCAACACGGGTCACCAGAAAAGGCATATAAACTTTGTTCCAAGCTACTGGCTGTGTACTCTTCCTTTGCTGAATTGTGAAGATATGGGAAGCATAATTCAGCATTATATGTAAAATCCTCTGCCGCTGACCTTTGAACAAGTCATGTTCAAAGAGCAGTGAGGGTCGAAGGTTCAATGCTTCGGCCAATGGTTCAGAGATGGCATGGGATTCGCACATTTTCACAGTTGCTGCAGGTGGATCGCTCCGCAGCATACATTTGCCGACAGATGGCCAGGGTCTGAAATTGGGGCAGATGAAATCCTGTCGCTGGAAGGTGGAAATCATGCAAACAATGCCGATGTTTGATTTATTCGGGCAATGTGTTCTGCCCAGTCATGACTCCTTTTTCAGCCTATAGTCTATAGTAACCATACGAGCCCATAGGTCGACCCAAACCCGTGGCCCGAGGCCAAGTCCGTGGTGTCTTCTGGTTTGGCAGCCAGGTGTTTGGTGCAGCCAGGCAGCAAGGAGCAGTGAGTTTGTGGCATGTGGATTTTCGGATTTTGCTCGCATTCTTCCTGCTGAGACCAGACGCCTTGTGGTGGAGCCGAGGCAGCTGTCCTATGCGATCGGCGTCGCCAAGCCCTTGTCTCTCTTCGTGGGGAGCCCTGGTGACACTGGTGACAGTGAGTTGTGGAATGCGGAAATGGACATCCATTGAGACACACTTGGAAATGAATCCCAAACTTGCAAATAAGTTATTATAAGTTATTTATAATAACTAGTACTTTACTGTAGTAACCATGTTTGAACCATTTTGAACCTATTTATAGAATATCCATGAATATCCATAAATATCCCAAGTTCACCTAGATATTGAGTTACAATGCATTTCCCAGATATGATGCACATCTACGTATCAGAGTGTGAAGCCGGACCCGCCTTCCCAACGGAGGTAGAGGCTTATGGCAGCGAGAAGGGCCAGCTGACGGTGGATGACATCACCAACGTCTTGAAGAAACTCGGCGGAAAGATGTGGAAACCATACGCCCCCAAGTTTGCTTCGATGGGAAAAGTGATGACAACCAATGGATTTTGAAGTACCACATGTTCGGACAAGGTCATGTGGGAAGATGACGGGACACTACGTTGGACTCAAGTGGCCCATTGCACCATGTTTGCACCATGAAATGAATCTTGGAACCTCTAGACTGTAGTTGAACAGGGCCCCAAAAAGCAAACATATCAAAACATGATCCAACACATCAAGGATTGAGTTCGACTGCCGTCCCGGTGCCATCGCCGCGTCCCTGGCCCTTCGGGAACCAAAGTACCAGGAGACCTGTTGTGCGGTGCAGCGGCAGGGAGGCTTTGACAACGGATAACAGCACCCAAGGGCTGCTCCATTTGAAAGTTTGCTTCCCACCTAGTGTAACTATCTTGGATCGTGCATGATTAAAGAATGCAGCGATAGAGTTCATCGTGGTTTGATCTTATTGAATTCATTTGATCAATTTGCAGACTTTGCTCACATGATACCAGAAGCAAAGCACTCCCAAACCGTGCTGAGGAGACCGCGGCCTACTGCCACTTCGGCAGGGAAGCCGTGACCAAGATGCTCGGCGGCAGGGGATTTGGAACACATTTTCTTTACTTCATTGGATCTACATATTCTTCATTGGAACCGTTTGAGGTTGTATCAGGTCGGCCATGTTTGGGGTTCCGTGCTCCAATTTTCCCACCAATCTGGAAAGCGGGGCTCCATTTTCCAATAACCAAGAATCTACATGACTCGCTGACTTCAGTCTCACAAGATCAACGTAAATATGTAAATAATATTAGATAAGTGTAAAGTGTTTTTTTATGTTTATGAATAAGTTCTTTGTAATTCGGAGCCCAAATAACCGCATTAAGAGTTGAACATAAGCTGAGTGTTTGAAGACTTCACCAGAGCGGATGTCAAGTCTCCCATTTGCCAGCCCCAAAGGGACGGCATCAAGTTCTTCGAATGGGAGAACGCCAAGGACTTGAAGAAGCCTCTTGGCCCAGCTGTTTTTGAAAGGTTTCCGATGTGCTTGGGGATCTCGGACATGATCCAAATGGGAACCGATTTTTGGGGCATGCGGCATAGGGCACAGGGAGTTCTCCCCAAGGTTTGGAGTAAATTCTGTGGTGGATTTCAATTAGTTTTTTTGTCAGCAAAACTTTGTTGAACTCTTTGACCCTGCAAGGTATGCATCCATGAGCAGCGAACAGGCCAGGACATTTTGAGAAACTCTGCCTGCGTCGACCAAGATCCCAAAATCCTGAGAAACAGAGCACTAGATTGTAACATATTGTAACAACATGTAACAACACTAGAAAACGTAAGACAGCATAAGACAGTGAATGGACCTTGCCAGGTGGCTGCTGCCCTGAAGGGCAGCAACTACCTCACCAAGTGGGTGGACTAAACGCCAGGGCGACCAGGCTGAGATCTGCCGATGTTTGCCCACCCACCATGTCGTAGGGAGGTCTCCTGGGTTGTTTGCCCACGAAGTAGTGAGCCATTCAGATGGGGCATGACTGATGGATCGGAAAGTGCTTGTGTGAGCTTGTATGTGTCTCACTTGACCAACCCTCTCCAATGCGTGGATTCAGAGGTTTTGTAACAGTTGGATACAGTTGGTCCGTTTCTGTCTGCAGCTTCGAGGGGGGCACAAAGTCTCACAAGTTCCCAGGCTTTGCTTGTATTGCCTTGGAGGCCTTTGGCGCCACAAAATTTCTCAGCTGATTTTGAGCAAGGACCGCTCTTCGATGCATTGAAGTAGGTCTAGACGGCAAGCTGCTTGATGGGATGAAATGGATAGCCGGTCCTTTTCTTTATTTTTCCTGAGTTTTTCCAAAACATACATACAAACTGGGTCCTACGTTCTTTTTTCTTGGTGCATCCGTTTTGCAACCTGAAGGGAATAGCATTCCACAGCTTTGATTTTGGTCCGTGTTCCATTTAAGAACAACCCCCAAGTGCAAAAACATGGAAAATCTACCATTTGTAGATTGCAGACGGTTTCTCCTTTGGAACTTTCCAAATCATTGCCAAGTTTCACCCATGTCGATGCAACATTCCTTTTTTTGTCCTCGCGGATTTCCTGTGTGTTCTCGTTGTGCCAAAGATGGCAAAGGGGCGCTGTGGACGTACGTCATCCATAACATCTACGACATCTATAACATTCTATGACATGGGATCACCTGGATTTACGTGTGTGTTTCCTATCCATGTTTGTTCATGTTTGGTTAGTAGGGGGAATTGTCCCAATATAGCCACACTTTTCAGGTTAGTGAATGATTGTGATGTATATACTATATAATCAATGTTTATATTTCACATTAACATATATATATATATGGTTGATTATAATATATACAACATATACAACATTAAACAACTGGAATTCAGGTTAGACATGAAAATTGAGTGTGTACATATATATATATATTGCAATTTCTTTCCTCCATTTTTCCCTTGTCAGGATACCTCGGATCCTGCAGTGAGCCGCTGCTGCGACGAGGAAAACATACTGGAATTTTGGAACTAGTTTTCGCGTTTTGAAAATACCAATATAAAATAATATTAATATTATATTAATATATGGTCCAAACACCATTAAAATATAAATAATATTGATTAAAACCAAAAAACACACTATTTAAAATAACATTAATTGCTAAATTTCCGAATTACTATATTATAATAGTTTTAAAAAAAAAATTACCTTATATTGATTACATAGGAAATAATTACCATTAGGAATCGTTGGGTGAATTGGATGGAAGTACGTGTCTAAGCGAGGGTCTGTGTTCCGTAGGGAAAAATTACGGATTAAAACCCCCTACGTACAGCTTACTATAAAGTGGACATCCTTTGCACTTATAAAGTGGGTTTCCGGTTTCCACTTTATATACCGACAATGGGGGATAAAGCCGTATTTTGCGCAAGAAACATGCCCTTGGACCTGGAAGATGAGTTTATAGATGTTGGCTTTCTAATTTATACCCGGATGGTTTCCTACAAGGAAACGACAAAATATAATG